TGTATTTGTTAATTTTGTTTCGTAGAATTCTAATCATTTTAGTTCCACTCTATAGAAAAGTGACCATATGTGACCAGGCTGTCCATATTTGAGCAGGTACAATTATTTGTTTTATAATTTAAATCACGCGTCACTTCTAACATCAACTGTTTTGTATTCATTCATACTGGGGCAGCTATCTCTTTACGATTATTTCCCATTTTCCGGCCCAATATCTGCCCCGGCATCCCAACTCGCCCCCCTCGTCAAACCGTAGTAAATACCGGTTGCATAACGCCAGAATTACCCGAAATATCGCGGAGCTTTGCACTCGCGCGCGAAAATCCCGTCGCCTTGGCCGGCGGAACATCTGAACGCCGCGTGTCACTCGGCGCGCCCTCGCCAAAATAGGCGAGTCGCGTCGCGGTGCGCCTCGCAATACGAGCATGCGCGCAAAGCACAACGCGCGTCCTTGTCCTCCGGCCGAAGGGAAAAGGAGAAGCTAGGCGCGTGGGCGACGCCGACGCGCATCTGTTTCTTCGTCGGGCGTCGCGAAGAAAATGATGCAGTGCGCTGCATGCGTCCCGTCAAGGCGGCTTGGGAAACAAAATTGCACTGTCGGCTAGATCGAGGCGTTTTGCACGGCTGTCTTTGTGAGTCTCTTCCGCGATGGCATGATTTAGAGGTAGTTTCGTACTGTGGCTCTACTGACAGCAGCTGTATTTCAGAAAAATGAAGAAAACTTGAGTTGTAGCTGGTCGAAGGACCAAAAATGGTTCGGTATCTGACGAGATATGAGGTATTTTTTAAAATTAATGTATATTATGATATGCAACTACTTATAAGATGACATATGTATAATATTGATTTCACGATTTACCTATTTACTTGTTATTTGTATATTTTTTTGCATGTTTTTATTTTTTTACTCTCTTTCTAACTATATGAAATTTGTATACTTTTGCATAACGAAATTTTTTGAGAAAAAACGAGGAAACTCTCAGCCTTTGACTTTATAGGCTATTGATTATATCCAAAAAAACAGGGTTAAAACCGCTCAAACTTAGCCAATTTTTCGATTTTCGTTATACGTTTTAATTCTCATTTTTTGCAAAAAAGGAAGAAAATAACACGTTCAAGGATTTTCATCACATGACTTGTTCGAAGAGTCATTAAAAATGAAAAAACCGCGGGGTGCTGTTAAATTAGAGGGTTGAAATTGAAGATAGGGGTGAAAATGCACTTTTGTAGTTTTTTAAATATAGCACGAAAACGAAGCAAAATTTCGGTATAGTTCATAGGAAAAATTTTGTAAAGAATTGAATTTCTCATCGAAATGGCTTATTTAAAAAATGTAAATGGAAAATTTTATGCCAAAAATCGTTAATAAACAATTTTAAAGAAAGCAAAAAATACGGTTTTTTGTTTTTTTTACTTTTTTAATAAAATAATTTAATAAAAACTTGAGAATTTAAGTACAATAAAGTTTATTAATAATGTATATACAGTGTGTCCACGGATGGAGTTGACAAGAGGAGGAACTCTTTTGATTTTGACTTTATCGAAAAATGTCACTCTTTAAAAAAAGTTATGTCCCTCGAAAAAATAAAACTGTCATTTAACGATTTTTTTGCATAAAATTTTCCTTTTAAATTTTTTAAATAAGCTATTTCCATGGGAAATTCAATTCTCAAAAAAAATTTTCCTATGAACTATAGCGAAATTTTGCTTCATTTTCGAACTACATTTAAAAAACTGAAAGGGGTGCATTTTCACCCCTATTTCCAATTTCCACAATCTAATTTAATAGCACTCCACGCTTCTTTCATCTAAAATGACCAAACAGAAGGCGCTGGAAAAACAATTTTGAATACCGCTATCTATCACATCGGTTTGTTTGTAATTGCTGTTACCTTCCAATTTATAGCAAAATGAACGATTTTAATGAATTAGTTGATATACAGTAAGGTTTATTATGAATGTAGAAAAAAACAGTGTAGCGACTTTACATTTATATCGACAACGTTATCCTAACAGAATTTTTCCTAACAAAAGAAAGTTTAATAAACTTGAAGGAAATCTAAGACAGTTAAGGTATAGGAAAAATATGTATGTAACAAAATGTAATATTAATAACCAAACAATTGTACAATACAACATTAAATGCACACAAAAAATGTAAAATGAATAGTGAAATTTAAAGTACTGTTCAAACTGTTGACTATTTCTTCCGATTTATAATTCGCATCTTCATAATTGCACTTCTAACTGCAATTAATTTAACGTTATGTGGAATATTGTTTGCTGTGGTACTAATTTTGTCTTTCAACTGATCAATGTTATTTGGCGGTGTTAGATAAACTTCGTTTTTTACGAAACTTCAGAGAACAAAATCCCATGGATTAATATCTGGGGATCGTGGCGGCCAATGTATGGGTCCTTTTGTACCAATCATCCGGCCGTCTTCAAATGTAGCATTCAAATAATTTATGTCTATTTGGATGTGCACTGTCTTGTTGGAAAATAATACTCATTAACTACTAATTCTTCCAAATACTCTTGTAACTGATCTCTCAAAAAATCGTTACCTATACCGCTCACCGGTTAAAGAACCATCAAAGAAGTATGGCCCAAATATTTGCGACAAAACTATATTCTTTGTGCAGTCATTTTCATGAAGATCTTGAACCAAATTCACCTTGTAAGGAAACAATTTATGTTTATGTGGAATTTTATACACAACGTTCTGTTTTTCCAGCGCCTATTTGATATGATTTAGAAAGCGAGCACAGTAAACCAAAGTCAAAGCCTGATATAAAAATACTGAAAAGGATTTTGCTAAAGAGTTTATTCTTCTTTCTAAATTTTTTGGCATTTCCGGAAAACTAGTCCTTACGCGAATTTTTCTATAGTAGCCATATAAGCGTGAGAGTTGAAAGCGATGTTCCGGAGTATTTTTAGCGGTAATTAGCAACAGGCACATTGCCCAGCCGGTAAAAATACTCTAAAAATGCTGTTCCGCGTGCTTTCGACGAACCGCGACCAGTTAAATCATCCGATTGAAAATAATATTGGCATTCTGATGCGCATAAGGATCACAAGGAACGTCTGTGTCTACTAATATTATATTTGATTAAAAATAAACAGACACCATTTATAGTAGGATTATAAACACACTTGTTCTACGTGTCAACGCTTGGACACTTTTAAAACGACAAATTGAAAACAAACTCGAAAATATGTTTAAAAAAAACTGTTAATCAATATAGAATCTTGGCAACTTACACCGATTTCAACAAACCTGTCGATATAGAGGCATAACCTCCAGCTTTCCTCGATTTTTCTGGATTCATAAATTTAAAGTATCCTTTGTTTTATTACTGAACAACATTGTGTCCTTGTAGACAATATATAAATACAAATATGCAAACTATTGACTTAAAAACAGTTTCTATAGAAATCGTCATTTGTCAATGCATTTAGAAATTAGATTTGAATACAAAATCTCAATTAGCAAACGCTTTTTTCACTTACAGGACACTTAAACATGGACAGTCTTATCAAAATTGGTAAAAATGTAAAAATTCCTCTTTAATCGTGGATACCTGAACCACATCTATTTGACGTAGAAAGGTCCAACCTATAAAACAACACCAAACTCAATCCGATCGGACCACCCCTGCGCCCAGCGATCACTACACTTTGGAAATTTATAGTCTCATATACAAATATATATTTTTCTTTCCTCTTAAGCTTTTAAGAACTTGAAACTTTGAGAAACAATTGTTTTTGTTTAATCAAGGAATGATTGGTGGTGTCACTTGAAACTGGAACAAAAAGTGTTAACTTAGTTCAATCAATGGCGAGCAAATGAATGAAATTTCTTGAAAAAACTAAATACTACTATACTAAAAAACATGTAAATAGTGTTTTAAAATTCAAACCGTTACAAAAACTAACTCTAAGCGGCTTATTTTATAACTCGCTAACTTTTTAAGTTATACAAAACTAATTTAAGGACTAAAAGGCAAGAAAATTCTTTATAAATTGAAATATTTACCTACACAAATTATGTATAAGCTCAACACGTGATATGAGGTAACAACATCTAGATGCGTTTTTCTATTTCTGCAAAGCGTTCCAACGTTGAAGCGAAACAGCTGATTTCCCTAATTGTCTTGTATTTGCACTTGGTTTCAGAATGAAATTGTAGCGGATCCCAACTTTATTAACAAAGTGTTATGGTCGCACTGGCATTTTAAATAGGTAGATACCATACTACTCCTCGAAAAGCAATAAGTCACTACGTACTACAAACAGAATAATTAATTGAATATAATATTAAAAACTCATTAAATTATAAAACATAGTGAAAACGTTAACGTTTTGTCGTTCACTACAGATTAAAAACGCAGTAACAGCTAGTTAGTGACCGATTACAGTAGGTCAGTAGCGGACCGAAAAAAGGTTTAAATAATGATTTGAAAATTTTTTTTCAGCCCAAATATGTATTTTAAAAATTTTTACATCGCCAATTCGTATTATACCTATTCATTTTTTTCTATTTTCCCTTAAAATTAGTGACATTTTAACTTAAGCACCCTCTATAACGTGTTTAAAAGGTTTAAAGAAGCAAATTTTACTTACTTTGGGCAAAATACAACTAATTATACACAAAAAACGAGGTAAATGCAACTCAGTATGCCGTTTGCCGATATTTCGATACACAAACAAGTAAATGGAGGAAAAAAGTTCAGATGGTAGATATCTTTATTTTTTAAGGAGTGAAACTATGATTTTCTTTTGTACAACGCGTTTTTGGACTTGATCGTAGTTAACTTTCTACAAAATTTCATACTAGGAGGTTCAAACTATACAAATTTATTATTCTGAACCTTTTCAGTCTCGCCAACAACTGAATTGCTGCCAATTGCTATCACATACTCATTTCATTTGATGATCTCATCCTTTACCTGATTAGGTTTAATTTTCGAACTGAAGGATATGTTTGTTTGTTTCAGGAGGGTGGGAAACCTATCACAAAAACAAGAGTTTTCCAACGTCCTATAACAGAAGAAGAATTAGAGACTGTTTGGGACGAACAGACTCTACGTCTTTTGGTACGTTGAAGCCCAATTCCTTTTCCAGCTTGCAAAACAATACTGCGCTTTTAAATCAGACGACCATTATTCAAGTCACCAAAAACGGTTCATTGAGTAATCACTAAATAATTATCTACGTTTTCCAGCTTGAACAGAGCACCGACTACGAGGAGCGCCGCTTAATCAGAGCCAGACTCCGACAGGTCATGGCGGAACAAGAAGGTAAGATTCGTCCGTATATGACACCTTTACCGTACCAGTTTGATATTTAGAAACTAATGCTGTTAGATAATTTTAGACGGACACCACTGAAAAGGCGATTTGAGGTGCTTACGACAAAAAATTGCATGATCCAGTCGGACTTTGGACGGTTTGTCGTCACAAGTGGCCTTTTTACACTCTCACCTCTCCGATAATAACGCATTAACTGCACAGAGTGTTTTTGCTCTTCCGGCCAAAGCTCGGTGAAGGAGAAGATGACAAAACTTGCATACATTGTTCCTTCCTTTAGAATCTAACGAGATATAAACATCGGTACCCTTGTTGATGGATTAACTTTTAGTTTTCATAATTCAAATTGCTTAAATTTTTAATTATTATCTTTATTTCTACGCGACGCAACGTAACATAATGATGTTAAAAATGAAGAAGCTTAGAGGTAATCTTCGTCTACATTTATAAATATTTTGTTGTACGGGGTGATAGTAGTCAAAATATTAGTATTTAGCTAGTCACGCTTTGAATTAATTGTTGATGAGTAAAAAGACACGACGAGTTTTTAGAATTTACTCTCCCAATTTTGGGACTTGTCGTAACTTGTTTACTCGCAGCTTTACATAAGTAATATTTATTAACTTCAATGTATAATAAACATCAAACAACTACCAGTAAACATTTAAAATCAGACTAGTAGGACATTGAGGTACCACGGGTGTTATAGGATAATATTGTCCTAAGTCGTTGGGAAGTAACCTCCTTTTAAAATCCTAGACGCCTTCATTACTATGATTATCTGAATTATATATAGCCTCACAAATTGATAATTTGTACCAAAATAGTAAAAACCATGCAAAAAAGTCAGTGTACCATTTTTGTTTAAAATAAGACTTGCATAAGACAAAACAAACATTTATTCCTAGGGTGCATAATTTTTGAGCAAAATGTAACTTCATATCTATCTCACTGTTTTAAGATAAGACTTAATTTTTCACACTATACACAACTTTATAAACACATATTGTGCAGGAAAAATTTCTTTTCAATACTCTTATTTCTTCAGAAGATATACAGGGTGATTTGGAACTTTATCTAAAAAAAATTTTTGATTGTACAGGGGACTCTTACAAATACAATTTTGTAAACAAATTCAAAGAGGGTAATTCGAAAATGATTTAAAAACACACATCTGCACGGCACTGGCAACTGGTTCACTGTAAAACCTAACATTTGCCGTACGCAAGGCAAAACATGCATTCAGCGACTGGCACGGCGGCAATCTATAATAAAAAAAGAACGGATAAAAAATTAAAAAAATTTCTTTCCCAAGGAAAGAAATAAATAAAATTTTATAACACCTATTTTATATCAACAAATTCAACTGCTATTTAATAAAATCAATTTTTGGTAATTATTAAAATTTGCCATACCTGATGTTACAACAACTGTTACAACTGTTTGTCCACCGACGTGTAAACACGTTCTACGAACCAATACAAATGTTGTCATGCTTCGCCATAAACTAAAACGATATCCATCAACTCCGAATTTCTATACACGGAAGCCATTTTTGACACTTGAAAAACTAATGTAAACACTATCGCAACAATGATAATACTATAATCGAAATCGCCTGGGGCCACGTGGATAAATGACGCTAGAGATTACAGTAGCCCAGCGATGTAACGGTTGAAAATACTACAACTTCAATAATTTTTTTCTCGGAAACTATACTAAGGATTTTATAAAAAAAAATGTTTACGATATTGACTCCATTTTTTATGACACATCTATCCCCAATTTTTTTTAATAAGTTGTGAATCACGCTGTATTATTTTTATCTTTAACACTGTAATTAAAAAATTAAGCCTCCTCAACAGTAAATGTTTATAAAAAAATATTCTTAAATGTGGAAGAAAACTATCCTTCATTTTTAACACGTAATTATGTTACTCTGCGTAGGTAATTCAAGTTTATTAATTTCTTCGAGTGATCTTCTCTTTTGTCGCAAAATCTGGCGATCACCATTGCTGACTTTCATCTAAACTTTTTGAAGAAGTGTTAAGGAAATATGACGTTTCCTTCTCAGTACGTTCACAAACCAAAGTTAACCTACGTTTTTAATACAGATTAGTAAAATGTAAATGTAAATGTCGAATTGGCAGCGATATTGGTTTTCCTGCGAACCTTAGGAAACGCACAGAAACGTCATATATCTGTAGATCTAACTGTAGTAGGATCTTCCGCTAAGGTGTGCTATTTTAACTCCCCCCTGTGTCGCAACATTCACTGAATCGCAAAAGATGTAACCCCTTTCCTGGTTTCAGCTTGTACAGACCTGGTCGACAAGGCTAGCCAGGAGCAAACAGGCGGACAGATAGACGGTGAGTCACTTCTCCTTCCTCTCCTTCAAGGCTTACTTGAAGCTCCAGAGAACGAGCAACCTCCCGACTCGGGCACCGAATCCGGCGAGGACCAACGCAGCGGTCTGATCGCCGAGGTCCAAAACGCTTTGGACAAACTATCAGCTAGCTTGCGTAGCGACGCAACCGACATAACTCCCGAGAGACGTTGCTCCCTCTTACAGTTGGTCACGAAATTGCAGGCAGGCTTGTCCTCCACCACGCCTAAGCTAGAGCGCCGCCAATCGAGCGGCCCAGGGCGATTCAACAAGAGAAAGCAGCGTCAAAACAGGCACACCGTCGGCGTGAGCAGCGAAGAACTAGCGGACGCTAGGCGTTTGATGGAAGAGATCTCCTTGAGAGACATAACCCCCTCACAAAGCCAAACTAAGGTCACGGTGTTGCAGAAGCAGAACTCGGAGGGCAGCGTCACGAGCAACTCCTCGTCCTTCAACAAGTTCGGCAACAAAGTGCCGGTGAAGAACGCAACGGCGAAGCCGTTCAGCAGCTCGAACAGTAACATTTCAAATACCTCTTCCTCAGTGCAAACTCCTACAGACCCAACGGAAAGCTTCGAACTCATCTTCAACGAAGAATCAGGACAGTACGAAAGTCCTAAAGAGAAAAAACCTGTTTATGCCGTAACTAAAACTTCTTCTAAGAGTTCGGTTGACAACGAACCGCTCAAACCTTCGCCTCTTTCTCAAAATACTTCTGCGGAGGAAGTCAGCATCAAAAGCGTCCACAAAGCCGTCCAGCAAGCGGCAGCGAGGAAAAAAGGCACCTCAGAAAGCGCACAGGAGTCCGAAACTGAAGACGACACCAGCACCGTAACAGCTCCTAAAGAGGAAGTCAGTGAGACTCCTCCACCATCTCCGTTGCTAGAAAACCCGATTTACACCCAACCCGTTGAAACAGTGGACTCCAGTAAAACATACGAGGAAAGATGCAGGAGATTCAACACCCCGTCCAAGAAACTTAAAATGAAAAGGGCGAATACAGTCGACATACCGAATTCTTTGAACGTTTACGAGGACGAAGAAGACGATTCGGAGACCGAGGACGAGATCCAACAAAGAAAGAACAACTACTACGCTCTTAGAGGTCCCATAAGAGTAGGTGATCCAGTAAAGAAATCCGCCATGCCAGTGTTTGAGCCTAAAACTGATTCCGATCAGAAATTCCTGGCGTTCATAAACAAGAACAACCAGAATACTCCCCAGTCCGGGTCCCTCTGGTCGGCAAACAAAACCACCGTTTGGGGGAATAAATTCGGCAACATTAAAAATACCTTCGAGAAGGCAACCTCCGGAGGGTCGAATAACTCCGCGAGGAACTTTTGGAAGACCGCGGACGACGCGGTCACCGCGGGAAGTACCCCGTACGGTCCGAAAATCAGCCGAAGGAGTGCTAGAAATTTACAACAAATGTTCGAAGAGAAACAACGACAGTCACAGGAAAAACTGCAGAATGAAAACGAAGGCGTCGTTACGGGTTCGCTGACGTTAAAAACCGAACCCGACAGAAACTACAAATTAGTTCCCCAGCCCGCCCCAGTGAACAAGTTCTCGCATGCGCCTCAGTCCGCGTTCAAGCCGATATCGAGGAATATAGCGCAAAAACCCGAATCGTTGCCTCTCGCAACGGACCAAGACATATTAAAAATAGAAATTAAGGAGAACAAGAACGATCCACCGCTGTATCTGTACAGCCCTAAACCTCTGATCAACTCCCAAGCCAGCTCTACGACTTCCTCCCCGGTGGTCACCTCGAAGCCATGGGTAACTAATGCCACCGATCACGGTGGGAGGGTGCTAAGCATGGCGGCCAAGAAATTCGAAGCACCCCCACCACAAGAGAATCATTTCATCAAGCCGAGGAAGCTCAGTAAAGAAATGAATAAACCCTTCATACCTCAACCCTCACCTCCGGAAAAACTAACCGCACCTTACTTAGTAAAGAGCGCAGATCAAAAGAGTAGCACAGTAAGGAAGCTAAGTGGCCAGTACGATAACATAGGAAACAAACCGGTAGATTATACTAGTCAATCCACCGTGAGGTACCAGGTTCCACAGGAGAAACCATACTATGTACCCAATTACTCGGTCCCAAAGAACATGACACAGTCATATAAACCTGCACAAAACACAGCACCTTCTTACCAAACTACACAAAAGCAACCGCAATATACGCAACCGTTTGTTCCAAAAACCACACAAAATTATCAGCCCACCACAAAAGCTTCCGCACCAACTCAACACTACCAACAGGTGCATAAGCAAACACCTACACAACAGTACACACCACCTCAAAACTATCAAACTCAAACACAGTACAATACTCAAACATACACGCAAAACAAACCACAAGCACAAAATCACCAACCTACCAACTACAGCGTTAGATACGATCAGCAGCAACAAAATCGAGCTTTCCAACCGTACAACCCCACTCAAGAATTCGAACCTCTAAACTATAGCATAAAATATGACAAACCTGTAGTTGATCCACAACCACATGCTAAACAAACACAAAAACAAGACTCAAAAGCACCCAGTTACACACTCCAAGCGAACGTACAGCAATCGCAACAAATTTTCCAGCACATCCCTGGTCAAGAAGCTGAGGCGCCTGAAAAAGAATATACCTCCACTTGTCAGTTCACTCCGCAATCAACTTCTCGTATTGCTCCCCAAGCAAAACCACAAATTCAAGTGCAAACGGCAGAACCCGCATCTCATCCCCCGAAGTTGGAGACCCAAATTTCCAACGAGAGCGTGTGCGAGTACACTGCGATAAGCAGCAAGGTAATGACGGGGCCCGTAAGCCAGCAAGCCGTTACGGTACGCCAGAAATCTCCGATGAGCCGTTCGGAGCACGACATGGAAGCTGCGTTCAACTTGAGGAGCAGCTTGCAAAAAGTGGGCAAGCCCGAGGCTAACGGTAAAAGTAAGTCGCCATCAAACAGCTTCAGTTACAAGCAGAGTGAACCCAAAGCCGCTTCACCAAATAACAGCTTCAAATATAAGAGTGAGCCTCAAGCACAGCCGGTTTCTGCCAGCAATAATCACAAAACCCTTTCTCCGGTAAGGTACAATCCCGAAGCGCAAAACACTTCGCCGAACAATTACACCAAATATAACCCGAACGACGTGCCCAAACCAACGGTCTGTCCCAGCAGCTTCAAGTTCAATTCCTCGGGACATTTCCCGCAGAGGTCGGGAGGTAACGAAAGCAAAACCTTCGGCGTGGTCAAGCCCATGCAACAGAAACCGACCACAGCCACTCCGATTTACAACAACGTAGCCGGAAAGGTTAGAGAATCTCTGGAAATTAACGATAAGGGACAAAGCGTGGTGACTAGCAAGTTCAATATCCCAGTCATCAACGTCAAGAAGTCCTCTGCGCCTAATTCACCCGCAGCGCTAGCGTTGAGCAAGTCAGATTCCTGGCACCAAATCTGCATGGCGAGCCAGAACAACACATCGCCTAGCACCTCGCCTACCAACAGACCGGTGATGAGGTCCAAGTCTAGCCACACTCTAGCTGTTCCTCAGAAGCAATTCGAAGCAGGAATGACCAGGGATGAGTTGGTACAAAAGAGAAGGACTATGGAAGCCTACTTTACCAGTGGCACCAAGTCCCCGCAGTCTCTCGACTCCACCAAAACCGAGACCAAGGTGGTGAAGAGGAGCATCAACAGGATAAAAACGTCGGAGAAGATGTCCGCGTACCGTCAGCCCTCGGGGTTGTGTCGCAGCAGAACCCTCCCCGATATAATATGTCCGGATATGTTGGACGAAAGCAACCCGGACAAAGCCTTCGACGACCTGTTTAAATCTAGTTCTTAATACGAGGTGGGCACAGCTCGCCGTTTCATTCCATTTAAATGTATGTGGAAGTGTTTAGAGTTAAGTTTGTAATCGTATTAATCGAACGAATGATGCCTGTTATGTTAGGATTTTGACGCAAAATAGAAGTTGTGTTTGTTACCGTTGGAGGACCTTGAGGCGATGTTTTGACAGAGATTGGTGTGTGGAAGGTGCGCACACCAATCCAATCGCGGATCTTTTGGGGGGCGAGGACAAACACCATTGACAGAGGGTGAGAAGTGTGTTGGTGTGCGCACCCCTTAACCAACCCCCACCTGCACGCCCATGTGCGATTGTTAATAATATTAAACACGCAAACGCTAGCTCCACGATGCCAAATGTATTTTTCCCCGGTGACAAAATTTGTCTCGACGATAGAATGCAAAATATTTCCACGATGTTTTTGTACATACATATTTATTTTTTTTATTTTTATTAGATTCAATCGTTGGCGTTTGTACAAGGCGGCAGTTTCGTTTCTCAAAAATGTTCTCATTCGCTCGCATTTCCATCCCTTCCATAAAAACTATTGCGATCTACGAAAAATTGTCATAAAATTTCCGAAAAAATTAATTGCAAGACATATAAGAGCTATTTTTACCACATATAAGAAGAGTCTTTTAAGGAAGTTCACTGTGAAAGTTTTAAACAGATAAAAATCTTTTTCTTATTTTTTTTTGTAGTTTTTAAAAATGCAACCTTTAAATTTAGGTATTAGGTGTATAAACTACTATCCTTCATAGGTTGCAATTTTTGTCGCTATAACATTGGCAGTGCCAAACTGTCAAAAATTAAGTTTTTATTCAAATAGTAATAATAATAATAAATGTAACTGAAAATGTTTAAATGTTACCATACAAAGGTCCTGTAAAGATAATAAAAAGCTGATAAAAGCGTAAAAATTTTGATGTCACATAATTATAAGAATCTAGATGATTTAGGAACAATCTAATAGTACCAGTCGATGCAAGGTGTTAAAAAATTTTAAGCTGCTAATGTTTATAGTTAGAAACAAAATAAAGGAGTTTTCATAAAGTTCCAAGTTGCAAGAAAACTAAAGGCAGACTTGCACAACTTTTTTGTAATTTCAACAATTTTGTAGGTACAGTCTTTCCGAAGTAAGTGAACATGTATAAAAACACCTAGCAATAAAATTTAATGAATTTCATAGGCGTCCCTACCACTTGTCAACAACTGAGATTTATTGCCCAGTTGTCCAGTGCGGCTGTGTTATATTCCGTTTGACGGCGCGCGCATTCTTCTACTGGGAGTATACATTTTTACCACCTCCACTTTTAATTCGACCAGACCTGTTTATGGCTACGGCTCAATAAATATGGGAACAAGTTTTTCAAATATTTCAATGCCGAGTTGCTGCGTCAGCGACCGAACGTACCAGGTTCGGTCGCTGCCAAACTCTTGGTTGTTCAATTGATATCGGAAAGACTATACCTCCTGCCGCTTCAGTTTCATGTGAACATCCTTAAACGAACCACTGTATATTTTTCCTGATTAGATATTCAACTGCCAGGCCTTGTACAAATCCCATTTTCCGTTTTTTTATATGTTTATGTTTTTTTTTCCAAGCAAAGCACTTGCTATAGCGTGTATGCTTGCAAAAAGTACACCAAGAGACCGGGTCGGGTTTCTTGAATACTTTTCACGAAATTTGAACCTACAGCACTAACCTTTCTTCCCTCTCAAATTGCAACTTGTGTCTTTTCTATTTGTTTCCGTTTCTCTAACTACTTTTCTTGTGTTAAACACCCCGCTAAACTTCTACGACGCCAAACTGACGCTTTTTTTGTTTCTCTTGCAGAAAATGTCATCACTACCAAAAAGACTGTTACCGAAGGCCCTGCCACTACTACACAAGGTAAGTTTCCTTACACAGAGCGGTTCTGGGTTCTTAATCAAAGTATTTTGTTGCAGTTACGACTCAACAACAAGTGGCTAAGAAACCTTTGTCCCCATTCGCCAAATTTCGGCAACTGGACAAGCAGAACAGCCTTAACACCCCTCCAAGGTAAATATAAATTGGTATAATATCATCACGTAAACTTTTAACAGAACACAACATGGAAAAAAACATTTTTTTCACGAATTTTATGTTAGATGCCCCATAATTTCACTTCTGAATTAATTGGAGTGAAATGAAATTAATCATTACACTAATATACACGACTGGAAAATCCACATAGTCCATCTGCCTTTACATGAGTGCAACAAAGTAAAGTAAAGAAATCCGTGCGATAGACAAGGATGGCTATATTGAAGACGTTTCATAATCTGATTAGTCACTCTCACTTCTAACCCGAAACGGACGGTGATTATTCAGATTATGAAACGTCTTCACTATAGCCATCCTTGTCTATCGCACGAATTTCTTTACTCTACTTTGTCGCTCTCATGTAAAGGCGAAGAGGTCATGTGGATTTTCCAGCCGTGTATACACTTTTAAATATACAAATCTAAATAACTTCAATAAGAATCATGTAGATCCGGATAGTATTATTAATTATATTATTTTCTTATTTAACACTCATTATTCAATTTGTCACCATAATTCCCAAAATTATTTTATCAAGCCCCAAAACATACAGGGTGTTTGCAGAACTGTCTTTATTCAGTTAAATAATATTAAAAAGCTCTGGATACGTTTGGAATGTTTGGAAACTTGCATGCTAAGTTCAAACATTTAAACTAGTTGGCGTAGGTCCAGTGCCATTAAACAAACAAAATAACACATCAAAACATGAAATATACACGTTTTGTTAGGAGAACTAATAAACATAATAATATGAAACACCCTGTACAAATTGTATATATTTTAAACCTAACTTCATGTCCTCCATCATTTAATTCGCACTTTTTGGGGTAATCCCTGTAAAATTCTACACAATAACACTAAGGGTGATTCCCTAACGTTTTCCAAAATTTACAAAATTTAAGTGATAATTTCTCAGGTAAAAATGAGCAATAATTTTATATAAAACAATGACGGATCGCAAAAATCAAAGTGGTCATGTTTTGGTAATGAAGCATGATACTATTACTAGTATACTATCTCTAGTAATGGTAATGAAGCATGGAATCATAACATTTTTGTTAATACGATTCAAATTTAAATATACAGGGTGTTATTTAAGTATGTGGTCAAACTTCAAAGGGTGATTCTTTGAGTAATTCTAAGACGAAAAGTTTATATAAACATAGGTTCGGTAATGCTTCGTTTTCAAGGTAGTGTCAATTTTTTTTAAATTGTTTTTTCGTAAAAATCTTAATAATCCTTTAGCCAATTTTGTTGAAATTTGGCAGAGTTATTTATGATAGAAAGAGGCTAATTTAGTCCTAACTAGATTAAAATTATTAAGTCCAGTGGCGTCCCAGGGGCACCTCAGCCAATATTGACAAAAATAATGTGCCTACTGACTTTTTTAAAACCTTTATAATTTTTTTCGCATTAAGCAACTAGAAACAGCTTTTTCGTCACTTGATTTTTTTTCCTTTTTGGAGAAAAAAAAATAAGTCACTGTATGGCATGTCCCTGAGACAAAATAATAAAAAATTAAAACTACCAAACTATCAAATATCAATAGTCTATTCTAATCTTAGAAATTGTTATAAAAATTAGTGCTAGCTGTAAAAAATACGTGTGTTATTAATTATTAAAAAAAAAATTATTTTGTTGTTCATGGACATGCAATAAAATGATTTTTATTTTATTTTTTCTCCAAAAACAAAGCCTGATACGAAAAAAATCAAGAGACAGAAAACTTGTATTTTTTGTAGCTTAAATGAGAAAAAATACATATATAAGTTTTAAAAAAATCAGTGACGCACATATTTTTTTTGTCGAAATTATTGATTAAGGTGCCCCCCGGGACGTCACTAGGTTTAATAATTTTAATCTAGTTAGGGCTAAATTAGCCCCTTTCTACGATTGAAAAGATATATTCTTGTATTTCACATATACAGTAACTCCTACATTTGAAATTTACAAAAACCACGTTGGTAATTCCACATTTCCATTACCAGTGTCGTAGGTAGCAGGGATTATCTTTTCTTTAAAGCGTATCTTTTATGCTTGCCAATTTTTTTTTGTAATACTTCCGTGTACTTTGTTAAAAATAATAATAATAATAATAGAATACTTGGAAAGTTAAGTTAAGTTTAACGAAGTTGGATTACATATTTTTGGAATAATAAAAGTAGTCTTCGAAAATCAAGGTTAACCTTCAAAGTTTTTTGTTTTTTTTTATTTAAACGAGCTATAATAATGTTAAATTGTTACTACATTAAGAAATAGAAGCTATATAGTTGACTCTAGGACAGTCAGTGGCAGTGGCCTGTACAAAACTTAACCTCAAAAAGGTTTATGTCATGAAATATAGCTGGGAGAGATGGTAGTGATGATCTCTAGCGGATGGTCAAAAACTTAACAACCTTGACATTATCTGGGACCCTCAAAAACTATTTGTATTAATATTTCTATGAAATGCATTGCTTTTTGAAAAAGTATGGCCAAAATTTCATTCTAAACGATTATTTTTTATATCCTGTGTCTTAAAAACAAAAGAAATGAATTGAAATGCAGAGTTACAAACTGTGCATTTGCGGACCGAGGTTTATATAAACTTTTTTGTCTTAAGTTGTATTCGTAAAGTTTATAAACGAGGCTAGCGAATCGCCCTGTATTTTGGATTCCCCTAAACATTCAACCCTCCCGCTTGTCGCTTGTCGTCTTCCTCCAACTAATCGCTTGGCTTGGTCTGCAGTACCCCCGGTACCCCAAAGACCTTCGGCAGCGGCCCCCTCTTTAAATTCACTGATCCGGCCGTGAGCCAATCCGCTAGCACCATCAAAGATCGGCTCTTGTTTTGGTGTCGAATGAAGACTAAGGAGTATGAGGTATGAGACTTTGAGTGTTCTTAAAGAGCCTACGTTCGAAAAGTTATTCAAAAAGTTCATGAAAATATCCAGCACGCACTATCAGAACGCGTCTGAAATAGACAACAGCGTGGTCTTTTATTAAACACTTTTTTGTTCTACTCAGACTTTATACTTAAAAAGTTTTACATAAATTTAAAGTTAAATATTTGCAAGGTTAATTGTCGTATTTGCTAAACATGTTGATTTTTAAAGTAATTCCCTCTTGAATTATCAGTATTTCGTTGCAAAGTGCCGAACGTAGGTTTTTAAAATTGTTTTAATGTTGTTTTTATGTGGTGTGTACCAGTAATTAGCTTGAATTCGTGCCATGTGTGTAGCTTTTCGCGAAGCTCATCGTCATCTGAGATGGCGCAAAAATCGCTAACAAAATTTAAAACAAAAGGGCAACGAGGAAAAAAGGATGCTAGTGTTCTCCAAATTTGAAATGAGTAAAAGTCCGTCGACTTTTACTTATTTCATGGTATTTAATTGTTGGATCTCTTGGTGGTAGTACTAAATCAAGTTTTAATACCCCGACTGATGCATGCTTTTACCTTCAAAGTAACGTTTTTTCATTCAACTGCTGTTACTTAAGCATGTACTGAGTACTTACATTTTCCATTAACATTGGCCCTAGACATGATGTTGTGAAATATAATAAAAACGTCTTACCTTTCAGAACGTTCAACTAGACAACTTCTCCAGCAGCTGGGCAGACGGACTAGCCTTTTGTGCCCTCATTCATCATTTCTTGCCAGACGCTTTCGATTACAGTGCGCTCACGCCAAAAGACCGAAGAAAAAATTTTGAGCTAGCCTTCAAGGTTGCCGAGTAAGTACAATTAAACAAACAAACACCATCCAAAGATTAACAGCAAACGTATTATATAAAAAATTAAATAAAAGACTATTGTTAATAAATAATTTGAATAAAACACACACCGCGCATATTAGTCACCACATATTACCACAGAACAAAGTTGCAGTGATGCAGTGCTGACACTACGATAAAAATAACGCGACCGTCAGGCAACTTACAATGCAACCGGTTGTATTACCAGTTGCCTAGTTGGTGGCGTTATTAAAGATCTTTAGGTCAATATTAATTTTTTTTTATATTTTTTAGTGAAAAGGCTGATATTTTCCCTCTACTTGACGTGGACGATATGATGGCCACAAGGAAGCCTGACTGGAAATGCGTCTTTACCTACGTCCAATCCATCTACAGGCGTTTTAAAGATGAGGAGATTTAAGTGTCTAGTCCCTAAGTTTTGTACTCAGTTTATTTATAGAAAGTAAATTTGTATAGATTATGTATTCTTTGTACATACATATAAACTTTAAAAGTTCCTAATCTTCAATATTAGAAACGTTTAAATTGAGTACAAAGGTATTATGAAATTATAAAATATAACTAATTGTTACTTGTTTTTGTTAAAATTTTTGTATTGTACTGTGGTGCTTATTATCTGTTTTAATTGCTCTGTGATTTGCACTATGAGAATTTTCATTATGGCATTTTTTTATAATTTAGTTACAGGATCTCTTAGTTTTGATTTCGATCCTGAAGGTGATATTTTGTATCTGCCCGGCTGTTTTTTTTTACTGTTACTTTTATATATATTTGCTAAGTTTTTTAACTTATAAATGCTTATTTATTTACTTACATTTATTTTTACAAAGGGTTGTTGCTTTTCGCCATGTGGTTGTTAACAAGTGTCATATTACCATTTATCCAAACATTTTATGATATTGTAACAATTTATTGGTTCCATAAATGTTTCTCTGGGGAACTGTTAATAATATTTTGCAATATTTCGCCTACATGCGTAAAAGACAATAATCTGAGAACTTTAAATATGAAAGCTATGTGCCTTATGTAATATCTTTATATATTTTATAAATGGATTTATATACATCTAACAAATAAATACATATATAGCAATATACCCTGATATTTTCAATTATCCACAAACTCAAATACTTATAGGTTGGTACGTCAATAACATAATAATGATTAAAATTCAAGACAGAAAATAACTATTAATAATTAAAATTGAATAATGAATGAATTGATTGAAGCAAAGTTACAATAAACATAATTAGTTTAATCACCATCAATGGTGTCGATGATGCGCCTGTAACATAGGCAATATAATATACCTGACTCTGTTGTAAGTGTCGCATACACGTTGTTAAAAACGTCTACACTAGAACCTGTTGATCGAAATAACCTGTGGAGTGAGTTCCATTTGCTCTAAAGAACGTGACGAATTAATTAAATAATCCGGGATTTCTATTGGCTGTCGCTAAGCAACGATGGATTAAGATCAGCGTCAGCTGACTGACTCAGAGAGGAGTAAAAGTAAAATGAATCACTCTACCTGTTGAATTTGACATTTCAGAAATGTATTTGTATTTTGTATAAATATATTTATAAATACGATAGTTAAATAGTTTTGTCAATTAAATAAAGTGAGTAAAAGATATTGGTTACATTTTCACTAGTAAAATATTTCTTTCATCTTTATTCAAACGAATATGTAAATTTTAAGTGACTAATTTTTATTCTAGGGCCTTATAAAATAAGTTTTACATAAATATGGATAAACTGCGAAGAGTACTTAGTGGAAATGAATCCCCAGATGAAGAAAGTGGGATTATGTCGCAGGTAAAACTAATAAAAGTTTATGTGAAAGCAATTTTTACTTGGTTTTTAATTTCAGTTAGATGACGCTTCAACACTGAGTTGGTCCACCAGAATAAAAGGTTTTTTAATCTGTTTTATAATTGGTATATTGCTATCTTTCCTTGGGTCTTTTGCCTTGTTCTTAAACAGAGGATTAACAGTTTTTGCGGTGTTTTACACACTAGGCAACGTCGTATCTATACTTAGTACTTGTTTCCTCATGGGACCATTCAATCAGATAAAGAAAATGTTTGCTTCCACCAGACTTATAGCTACGATAATAGTTTTAGTGTCATTTACCATGACATTACTGTCGGCTCTCGTGGTAAGTATTTTTGAACTAAGTTTGTATAAAACTAGTGGCCAATCTTGTGTTTCTATTTCAGTTTCATAAAGCCGGACTTGCCTTGCTGTTTATCATAATACAGTCACTAGCAATGACTTGGTACTCACTGTCGTATATACCATATGCCAGAGATGCCGTCAAAAAGACGGTAATGACATGCATAGGGTAGAATTGTGTAAATTTAAATTACTATAAAATATGTGTCTAAATAATGTGTTTTAATCCTTATTACTTATGTCGTGTATCTGTCACATTTATAATTGTTTGTAAATCATTAATCTTGTGCAAAAAGCGACTGATATTTGAAAGGAAATGATACATTTATGTAAAATAGATAAGTAAGTAATAATCTTTTAAATGATGCATATTTTTTGGTATGTTTAAAAATTGTAAGAATTGAGACTGATACGTTTACAATAGTACATTCTCCATTAGAAACAGGTAGGAAATAAAAGGAGAAACTCGCAGATATAGAGTTGTTACCAGTCTTTTTAAAACTATTTGTACAAGTGCCACTTGATGTTAATGTTGAGGTGTATATTTAATGATAATTATTACCAGTCTCGCCATTATGGCATTTTGCCGGTTCGAGGAAAATCCATTTTTCGTATTAAATTTTCTTTATTTGAATTTTTAGGAAAGTATGGTTTTTTTATTTCCAAACTATTCAAAATTTGATCCACAATTTTTTTACTCTGCATTTACTTGGATAACTTTGTTAAAGTTGTTTTTCTTATTAAAAAAAATGTGGTTCAAGGAAAATTGTATGAAAATTTTTTTCAGTATTCATTTTGTTTCTATGGTATTAAAAAAACTCGTCATTATTAGGGATACGTAATTTTCGCAAAGAAAACAATCAAATTTCGAAAAAACAAAAATCTGAAATTTCGCATTTCTTCGCCAAAACCAAAAACCAATCTTCAAGGCAGCAAAAGAATAATAAAGTTGTAAAATAAAAGAAATCTTTATTCTTTATAAGAAATATTGGGGCGTTTTTAAATTTTTAATCAATTTGTTGATAAAAAACAATGACGCTATACTTTTTTCATGACCAACGAGATGAGATGCCTCTTGGATTATCATTCCCAAGACTTTCCAACAATAAAATCACACCCAGTAATTAATAAATTTCAAAATATTTCCTTTCTTGGTCTAATGTTGTAAGCGTTGAAAAATTGCTCGGCATCAACACTATTTACAGATCCCCATAAACTTTGAATTGACGCTTTTGCAAAACTTAGATGAACGTACTTAGTTACCCATAAAACCTGAAGAACATCGGTAGCGTCTGTTTTATCTGCTGCAGCTAGAGTTGTCGATGAAAGTAACTATATCCATCAATAAGCTCGTCTTGCGGGAACGGAATTTTGGAAAAACTAAAAATAGTGTACCACTGTGTCGATAGGCCACGTTCGTTTCATTAGATTTCATATGAAGGACTAATTTATTCAAGTTCTTTGAGATTTTGCCAGAAGAGCATCGCTTCATGTTTATTCCCATATTTCGCATTTTTTCCGTCATTTTGCATTTATTCGCACATATTTCGTAAATACGAAAATTACGTATCCCTAATTATATGTATATTTATGTGAACATTGCCCATTTTGTAAAATGTACCTTTGTAGCTTTTAAATAAAAAATAAGGAACGTCTCATAGATATTTTATTAAAAATAATTCAACTGTCACATATATGCACTTTCTATACTTAACCTAGGAAATTACGGGCAGTTTACGAACCCGCAACGCAGTTCTGTAAAAATCAAAACACAAATAATGTTATTCGACATCTTTGCCGATCGAAATCGTGATCTCAAAATATTCACGACAACTTTCCTAGAGTGAGACATATACAAAATAAATAAATAATTCTAAATGGCTTTATAATTTACTGAGAATACTGATAAATTCATATTTCTTTGGAAATTAATAATTCTTCCACGCCGATTCGGCCTTGGTGCCGCCAAACTCGATATCGAGCCAGATCTTTCCTTGTAACCATACCTATAACCTGAAAAAATGTCCCGTATAAAAAAGAAACCTAAAACTAAAACTTTGTGTATATACAAATTATCCAAAAAAAAATTTGGAAAAATATACGTCATGAAAAATTAAGTCACTTTCCTAAAAAAAAAATTTTAAATCCTTATTGTTTCCGAGAAAAAAACTATTGAAGTTGTACTATTTTCAACCCTTACATCGCTGGGTTACTGTAGTCTCTGGCTCTCCAAGAGGCCCCATGCGATTCCAAATACTAAAACTCGATTTTAGTATTAACGTTCTTGTGATAGTGTTTACATTAGTTTTTCAACTATCAAAAATGGCTTATGTGTGTAGCAACTTGGAGTTGATGGATATTGTTTTAATTTATGGCGAAGCAAGACAACATTTGTAGTGTATTTTCAAAGTACCCTTTTTGATTTTTTTTTACAAAATTGTATTTGTAACAGTCCCCTGTAATTTTTTTTTTGGATAAGCTCTGAATCGGCCCATATAGTTACCTCGTTTGCGTCATTCACTATAGGCAGATGCCTTAATCCAAGAGCTCGGAAGAGCCTGAACATTCTAGGAAGAGACGCGGACTGCAACAAAAAAAAATCAGCACTCACAAAGTTTATTAAATAAATGAGATACTTACATGCAGAACAGTATAGGGAGAAGGGTTCATAAAGGGCCTTAGATCTACAGAAAACGTCTTCTCCTCCTCGCTTATGGAAACTTGCTATCGAAAAAATAAAACAAAAAAACATCAAATATGTTCACTTAAAAGGATTCTACTTACGTCTATCGTAGGATAGCGTGGGTACTCGTCCCTGAACAAACTGGCCGTGATGTATTCCCACTCGTCGGAGGTTTCATTGAAAATTTTCTTTTGCAAGATCACAATCAGCTGAGATCGCAGTATAAGCCCCCTTATTCTACCGTAAGTAGTGACTTCCGTCTAAAATACAAGAAAACAGTTTATTCTATTGAAAAAATGTTTTCAATTGGACACAAACCTGGTCTGTAAGCGGCGGATCCACCACCGGAAACCCATTATAGGTGGTTAATTTGAGTAACTCTACAATATGCCCGACATTCTCAACACATTTAAGTGTGACCACCGGATGTGACATGACTTCGCTCGCATATATGTTGTGCACTAGAGGTGGGGGCTCCCAGGGTAGGAGCGGCACCCCGGAAAGTTGAATAAGGGTGTCGTATATGCCCTAAGGTGACAAAAAATAAAAAACTACATATAGGTTGTCATCAAAAGTGGGTTTTCCTCTTAGAATATATATACAGGGTGTTACTGAAATAAGTGCGTTCCTTGATAAGGGTGATAGAGGGCTCAAAAATAAGCAACTGATGGTCTAAACATTATGTTTCAAATTGGAAAAAAAATTCACATGAAAGTTTAAACAAATTTAAAGCTGTTCCTTGTGTGGCAGCTAGCTGTACCTTTGAAGTTGCTGTGCGCCGCTTTGCGAAAGCGCTGATGGCAATTTTCACGGTTTAAATTTTGTTCCAAAATGCTGAAATTTATTCAAATCTCGTTTAAAAGTAAAACCAAAATTAAACGAATCACTTACTAATAGACGATACACGCTCTACAAAAATTGTTCAAAATTGTCTCTATGTGCTAATAAAAATGCTTCCAAACGATGGTCAAAAATAATCCGCATACCTGCAAATACGCAAAACGACAAGTTTCGTTTTAATTGTAGTGACATTCTTCGTACACTAGCCCCATATCTACTAGTTCTTGATCAGAAAACATTTTATACGCCGTCTAAGTAATACTGCACACGACGCAGGTGCACAAGATGGACAGGGTCGCCTTAGATTTATGGTTAATTTTCTCGAAAACGGAGTATTTATACCATCAGTTGCTTAATAAAAGTTGCTCATTTTCGTGTCCTCTACCACCCTTTTCAAGGAATACACTTATTTCAGAAACATCCTGTACATATGTATTGGCAAACGAGGTAGCATTATAAAGTAAAATAAATTAAAGAAAGTAAGCAATTATAGAGTTAGGTCATTATTACAATAAATGTACTATATGACGAGAAACATTCAATTGATGTGTAAAGTTTTTGATTGTGATTGTGAATACAAAATGTCTTTTTTTCTAAAAGTTAGATGTCGTGCCGAAACCATATAAATACGATACACCGACTCAAGAAGCCTGTTGGTATTGACTCGGCTCAGGAGCATGGACCCGGCGAGGCCAGGTGTTGGCAGTGCCAACACCGGGTCCGTTTTAAAACCCAATATAACTACACGTTCCACAAAATGCTAAATCAACAAACATAATACAGATTGAAGATTACAGGAAAGTTAGTGGTTGGAGCACAACAACAATCTACTCAATAAAAGAATTCATACGCTATGCTCAAGAAAGGGAAAGTCTCAACGTATGTCCACTGCGGGATACAGCAACGCCGCGAATCCACGACGGAAGAAAAATAAACATGGAACACTGCAGAGCTAGCAAATCTTTTGGAGAAAAGTTGTATATTTACTGACCAGCCGCTTTTTAGAAAATATATATGTACTGGGTGATCCACAAAATTGACCCACATCTGAATTATAGGCAATTTTTTCCCTTTTCACTTTTAACTTTGTCTTTATTTATTTTTAAAAATTATATACTTATTAACCAGTTGCCTTTTTGAATCTTTATACTGGATGTTCCACAAAACTGATCCAATTACCAACAGAACGAAACTTTCCTTAGGTATCCTTTTTTCCATTTCTACATTTTGTACTGAAGTTTAATATTTTTATGAAAAATCTTATATACCACTAACCAGATGTTTTTTGTAATTTATGTACTGGGTGTTTCATAAAACTGACATAAGTGGACTAGGTTTTTCCTTATTCATCTTGTTCATTCTTTTTTAAATCTTTCGCAGGAAAGTTGTATATTTACTGAGCAGACATTTTGAAATCGACACGGATTTGAATGCCAAAGCATCGAACGTTTTTTTTCTCTTCACTTCTTTCCCATTTTAATTATTTGAAAAAAAATGTTTTTACTAACGAGATGTCTTTTTATATTTACTAACCAAGCCCGAGGGCCGAAGGCACAAGAGAAAGGTCGAACTCCGACCTTTCTTGTAATTCTTTTAAATGCAAATATCACGGTTATGAAACAGGCTAAGGTTTTTTTAAATATATATTTTTTTTGTGCAAACACCACAAATGGAAAACTTCATTTTCAATGATACGTACATCAAACGTTTCGGGTAAAACTTACCTCATTGAAGAAATCTCCAGTCCATTTCGACGCAATAAGCGTAACGATGAGGGGTAGCGCAAACGATATATTTCCTGTCGTTTCCATTATTATCACGGTCAAGCTGATTGTCATTCGAACAACACCACCCAATTGTGCAGCAGCACCTATTAGGGCATACTTTCCGGGGAAAACCAAACTCTAAAGAAAAAAATACACCTATGTTCATTCAAAACGAGAAAAATATGTTTTTACATACATTGGGAAAAACATAGTACATTCCAATTGAGACGAGTCGGCCCCAAGCAGCACCCGTCAGCAATGTGGGTATAAACAAACCGTTTGACGACGCAAGCCCAAACGTCCATGCCGCCAGCATAAAGTACGTTATTACGAATACAGCCAGGGAAGTGGCATTGTGTGTGTCAGGGGGGTCATGGAACAAGGAGCGAACTGAGGCTTCTGGGGTTTGAAACCATATGCTAGCCAGGGCGTTGTACTGCCCGTCCATACAATACATCTGAAATACAGTGCGATTAAGGGTACGTAGTGGCTTTACTTCAGGCACCAATCATACTGCAATTTTGATAAAGTAAAATATTTATTGACAAATATGGCCGAAGAAAGTTTTTTAAATATTCTTTAAAGTTCATGATTTTATTGCTTGGGCGTGCATTTGCTTCTGTTACAGTCTCAAAAAACTTGCGGGCAGTGTCGCCAAATCTCTAGGTAGACAACGAACACACGGAGCCACCACAGAACACAGCTGAGCATATACATGAGCCCAAAAATTCATTTAAATTGATCAGTCCTCAATACAAGGTAACCATACAAGTATCGCTACAAATAAACTTCATGAATTCATCAACGGATAGCCGTCATTCATCAACAGATTTACATCGTCAAACATACAGCCACGATAAAATCGGTAGAGTTCCGATTATTAAGCATATAATTCATCGTCTATGTCAATCACCCACTGTCGAATGCTTATAGGATCCAATCTGCAATTTCTATTCGGTGTCATAAAAAATATTTCTGGATATTCTTAAAAAATCCTGTAATTCGTTTTATAATTTTGATCACAATCCTAAACTTTGCAAAATTAATATTGTTGTTAATGTTTTATTTAAAAAAATTAGTAAAAAACATGTCGCTGAAAGTATTGTCTACTATTTTTTCTCAACTTTCAGCATGTTTGGTGAATATGGTGGGTTTTACAACATGTGGCCAAATATTATCATGCTGTAAAATCACTTTTACATGGTGATTCACAACTTATCCAAAAAAGTTTGGGAATCGATGCGGCATGAGAAATGGAGTCAATATCGTAAAAAATTTTTTTATAAAATCCTTAGTTTCTAAGAAAAAAATTATTGAAGTTGTAGTACTTTCAACCATTACATAGCTCGACAACTGTAATCTCTAGCATCATTCGTAACACGCGTGGAGAGCCACGTGGCCCTCGGCGACTCCAAATACTGAAATCCGATTTTACAATCGTCGTTGCCATAGTGTTTACAATAGATTTTTAGTAGTTAGTGTCAAAAATGGCTTGCTTGTATAGCAATTCGGAGTTGATGGATATCGTTTTAATTCATGGTGAAGCAAGAAAGCATTTGTATTATGGTGAAGCATTTATGTTAATTTTATTTATTCCTTTCCTTGCGAAATTCTTTCAAGTTTTTGTCCGTTTGTATCACTGCCGCCGTGACAGTCGCATTGTGTCAGGTCAGGTTTTACAGCAAATCAATTTCCAGTGCCGTGCAGAAGTGTATTTTTAAATCACTTTTGAACTGCCCTTTTTCATTTATTCTATACAAAATTGTGTTTGTAAGAATCCCCTGTACATTCAGAATTTTTTTTTGGATGTTCTGAATCACCCTGTATAAAGGATATTTCCGATCTTCACTACGCAAGATATTTGGAAATATTGATGATTTTTTGGGATACCATGCCAATGCGTCGTCTAGTAATGAACTTAAAAATATTTTTAATCAACTTTTTTGTTAATAGATTTTTTAATTTAAAATTTCTCAGTACGAATGGTGTCTGAGCTGATTCGCACACACTGCAGTCATTAAAAAACATAAATAAAAAGTATTGTAGTATTTTTTACCTGCGTAGGATAATTTGTTGGATTTGCCCCTAACGGTTTGCAATCGTTGATCGTAAACATCATCAGGAACCCAACAGTGGCAGTTACTGCTGCAACAATGCAAGCTTCTAACACTTTCATCCACCTCGGTCGAATATACCTAAAGAAAAAAATATAACAAAATCCACTGAAATCCTGCCAAATTGCCACACCTCATTCTAAAAACAGTTATTTTATAGTTAATGTGGTTCCATAGGGCCCCGAAAAGTCCTCCTGCGGCCCCCATTATGACAAATATGGGTAGTTCGTAGATCTCATAACTGCACGATTCAAATTTACCCAAATTTAACAAGCCAGGGTAACTCAGGTTCCCAGGAACACCGTGGTAAGTTGAGAGCACTACGTTTAATGTAAAAGTTGATATCACAGACGCGAAAAATGTTCGCCATGTCAAGCCCTGGTTCCAGAAGCTCGTGCCTTCTTCCAGACTGAATAGAACCCCACCTAAAACCACCGTGTATCTGTCTATTGGATAAATTTAATCATATTTTCTGTCTTTACCTACTGGAGCGCCAAAAGCAGCCGACACTCCAGCAGCTGCACCACCAGACACAAAATCTCTCTTTTCGTGATCCTCTCGAAAATATCGGAATACATTAAAGTCCTTTTTGAAGGTACTCGTTTTTCCCTGAGATATTCCAGCAGCTACTACGGCCCCCGAGTGGATCATCGGACCTTCCTAAAATCGAATAATCCTTGATCGGGTGTTTCTCTAGATTCTATCCTGCTTAACTCACCTTTCCTCCTGCCAGTCCTCCAACTACAGAGCAGATAACTCCTACGCTTTTCACAAACAATGTTTTTATTCTGACTACACGCGGAATTTTGACTCCGTTCAAGTAACATTTTACTTGAGGAATTCCACTACCTGCGGCTATTGGCTCTACATATGCGACTAATACAGATCCTATAAATACAGGAGTTATGTTGTACAGTATCCACAAGGCATATGGCACGTACAGTTTGCCTTGTGTGATATATTTATCGACAGCTGTATTATAAATTAAGGAAAACAGTTATCGAATATTCGTTATTAAGAGGAATATATAAAAGGATACATTTACTAAGTGATGCATATTTTATTTTTGATAATTCTTCTATAGATATATCTATAACACATGCTATTAAAGCTGTTATCATACCGATTAACAAAAATATAAACCATCTCGATATATTCTTTCTTACAACAAATTTATAACCTTTCTTTCTTTCTTCATCTAAGAGTAAATGGTTTTCACATGTATCGTAATCCAAACTCTACAATAATTACATAAAAAGAATTCAACATTATTATAATACAAACAATACAAATTAATCATTTATTGCATTAACGACCTTTCTTATCAATACAAGACCATGTGTAACATATTTCTAAACTGATAAGGCTCTTTATCCTTGAATGACACAACAATTGAATTATATATTTCAGTCAATTCCTGTTTATGAAATAAATAAAATTGTTTAATAAAAAATTACCTCGTACTTCGCAGACAAAACATTGAGTGAACCTATCTGTATTCTTTCCTTACTAATTTGTACCCTTCTACGCACAGAAGCCAATAAATTTGAATTTTCGCTGGTCGTTACAATTGCTTGCAAATCTTCATTACTCTCGTTTATAGATGGGAGATTCTAAAAAAATTAAGGGTTTATACGTAATAATAACTGATAATAAAAAAGGATCTACAATAGTAATATTAATCAAACATTAAAATAGTTACCCTAAATCTTGTTGCTCTAACAGCTACATTGTTAGCTTCAATTACATCAGCCTCATTTTCCCTTAGTATCGAATCACCACTTTCTTCCATGATTTATAATTTATTAGATCTTTATTATTATATATCTTAACCTACATAATAGTGACTATTTAGTATTTGCAGTAGTAATGCTGCAAGTTTACTTCTATAAATATCAGGAAATATATTACTGACACTATAGGTTTATACAAATGATTATCGCTAAATGTACAGGGTTACTGATAATTATTTTTTCTGTGGTAGTGATTACTGAACATGACTCATAAATCTGAGAATACAATACGATCAGACATGAGATTTAATTCGCTTTTATTTATTTACATTTAAAAAAGTGACAGGACTGACAAGCAACAAAAAAAAGGTTGATTCATGTGTTTGTGTCACATTCTGGTCACATCATAGATATTGAAAGATAAGATAACCATAGAATCGATGAGTTAGGAAGTGTTCTTTTATTCATTCTTTTCATGTGATGTGATTCCATCCCTCCATGTAACATTATTGGTTTGTTTAAATAAACAATTCTAATTTTTCATTGGCTGTACATAATCATCATAATTAATGGCATCAAAATAATAAATACCTCAGACCAGACTAATATTACTCTGAGATAGCAAGAAGAGCGCCAGAAGAAAGGGCCCTAGCCGGCGGGGCCCAGCCAGGACAAAAGGAGGTCCCACAAAGCGCCTACACCGGCCGCATTTGCGGTCGGGGTAGACGACGGATGGGGCCCACCTACGAAGGCTGTCCAGGCCTACACGAGATGAGGCGGGATAAAAAGGGATAATCCCCCTCGATCCCAAATCATTGAGGCCAATTTGGCAGTCAGTACTCTGAGATAAATACAAGAACTCAGCCTAATTTATCGATTCTGTCGACTGAATGTAGCTACTGATTCAATATTTCCAAGTTATTTACATTTCATTATTTAAACTTTGCCATATTTGTCTGTTTCCTAGTTTAGAATATTGGAGCTTACTTCATGATTGTTTATGTTTTATCTACTTAACCTAGCTTCTACCAGTTCTACCTATTAATTTTTCAAATGCCAAATGCCATAAAAGTGATGTAAATTATAAACCATAATATACTTTTCCAGAATTTCTGTTGATATAAATACAAACATGAATAAAAATATTCTCGTTTTTATACCAAATACTTTAAAAAGGAATAAAACGGGCTACCTTAAAGGTTGTTACAGAAAATTCGAAGACTGTGAAGCATTTTATATTACAGATGAAGTAATTTTGAATAGTTGTAAACAATGTATAGGTTACATTGGAAAGAGTTTCAAAAACTTTAAATGTAAAGAAAATCATTTTTTATTTTTAAACAATTCTAATTCCAATTGTAAAATATTGGTTAACAATGGCGATTATGGGGGCCGTTCTGTAATAGACATTATTTATGATTACCACGGTTTTAAAAATTCAGATATAATTTGTAGAGAGGGTGATAGTTATGGAAAACATTTTAAGTTTATTGCAGAAGAACTAAGGAAATCCAATCTTGACGGCCTTAAAATAAATGGAAGAAAAAGTTTTTTGGCTTCTACGGCTCTGATAATAATTTTTATATTAAATGTTATTTTAAAGGTAAGCCAGTGAAATAATCAGTAGTGAAAACTTACTGTATGGTTGTAGGTTTTGAATATTTTAAAACCAATGCTACAATACTCAGCTACATTTCTACACTTTGAAAACAATGCACTTAATTTGAGATGGTTTTTGGAAGAAATTGTAGGAAAGAAAAAACTGTCACCAAAAACAGGAAACATGCTTGTAGCAAAAATCGTAGACTTAGTGATAGGCATTGTTTTGTTAAACTGGTTTCTGAGATATGAAAGCAGCATTTTAAATTTTATTGAAACAATTATAGAGGTGATTTATTTTTTATTGTTTTTTATATTATAAAACAATAGTCAAATCGTTATAGGATATCATAACTAATTTAAAAGGACTCTTACTATATTTAATGGGCTCACCAATTGGTTTGAAACTAAACCACTCGTTTAACAACACACTGGGTAAATTTTTCTTCTACCACATATCTCTGTGGAGGGTATTCCTTCAGGGGACAGAACCGCTTTTAAGAGCATATTTTAAATATCTCGTCTTACCAGGAGCTTTAGGTTTTTCCTTCCAAACCGCCATGTTTTCTGATATAGTGTCTATTGCTACGTTCCACGTTTATTGCATATATGTTTATGCAGCCAGGTAAAAGATATTAAAACGTAGGTACCTACTTATTTAGGTAAAAAAAATTAATATTTTCAGATTATTCCTGCTGCAGATAAGAGGATTAGCATCCCTTTGGAGATTATTCATTGGCAGAAAGTTAAATCCATTAAGGGAGAGAGTAGATTCTTGCAAATACACTCCCGATCAATTGTTTATCGGAACCTTAGGTTTTACGATATTATTATTTCTTTTGCCTACTACTGCGATGTACTATACAGTATTTACCACAGTAAGTATTTTAAAATTTGCAGTACCTTACTTTATGTTTGTTCGTGTTTCAGTTTCGTCTGGCAATAATACTTGCAAATGGTTTGTTGTTAAGGGCCATATTTTTATTGAATACTCTACCGTTGTATGTGTTAGTCCTTTGGATTTTCAATTCTTCAAGTGTGGCAGGTATGCATTTAACATAGTTGATTATATATAGCTTGTAACTTTAAATGGGAATCATATTAATATGGGGGCTACCTTTGATCTTGCTTTATTCGGCACTTATCGGTTGGAATAATCCTGATATCGTTTTCTTACAAAAGTAAACTCTAACCGTATGAACTCTCTCCATTTGTACACTTTTTCTCCATAATATGAAGAAACTGGATAATGAAAATGAAGATACAAACACACCATATCGTCACTAAACACTGAAATAAATAATTTCATAGACGCAAAATTCTCTTTCGATTCAAATAAAAACTAATACAATACAAACAACTTCTTATAAAACGATAAACTGAAAACTAAAATAAATGTTGACTATTTGTTTTTTGCCTGTCTCCTGCCCTCCTGCATATCATATAACTCAGGTGCATTGTGAACAACCATCAAGCACGTGGCTACGAAAATATTGGTCAATTAAACGGATCAAACGACACAATCTCTGCTAAAGACGGGCTTTCATGCAAAATCATATTTCACAACATATTGTATAATAGTTTTCATTCGGCATTTAATTTTGTTGCTGTTACTTAGGAAAATCATTGTACAGAGTTCTGCCGGTGATTATTTATTTCGTTTTGACACATGGTGAAATAAAAAAATTTGTAATCACAGTTCAAAAACATGCTCAAAAATGCAAAAAAATAAAAAATGACTTGCAACAATGAATTTTTCAGTTTATAATTAATAAATTGATAATTTGTTTAAATTAAAAAAAAGCTGATTACACCATTCAATTGTATGGAAAAAACAAAAAAAAATCTCTCAAAGTCTCATTGTTTGACCCAAAACATTATTTTTGTACAGTATTGCTATAAACATTTAAGTCGAATTACAAATATACAAATGATAAATTATCTCTGGATGATTTGAGATTTCAGCAATACAAAGTATTAACTGCAAAGTCTGCTATTGACGCGAAACCCGAAATTTTGCAAAATCGTTTTATTTTCTTTCTGGCTTTATTTGAAAACAAATTTTAAAATAAATTGCATATTTACATTGCCACTTTTTCCGCTCTATCCAATGGCGTCAACAATTTTTGCAATCCGACGTTTCGTCTTCGAGGGGCCATCATCCGGTTAATTTTTTTAAATACTTCGCTGTTATTTTTATGACAAAATCTAAAATCATTTTTAATTCTTAATTAGATGATATTACTATTGTAATTGCTTAAAAAGGATATTTTGTGTGGTATTGACTTTTATACTGTTATGACTTCATCGAATAGATATTTTCAAAACGTTAAGCGATTACAATAGTAATATCATCCAATTCAGAATTAAAAATGACTGTAGATTTGGTCATAAGAATAGCAACATATCTAAAAAAATTAACCTGATGGCCCCTCGAAGATGAAACGTCAGATTGCATAAATGTTGATATGCAATTTATTTTAGTTTGTTTTCAAATAAAACCAGAAGAGAAATTAAACAATTTTACGAAATTTCGGGTTTTTTCGGATATCTCCGAGCTACCCCGAATTTTAAAACTTTCTAAACGGCATATTGTTTAGGTATAAAATACACAACTTTTGTGTAATCTGATCCACCTCGTATCTCTTACCGTTTCCTAGATCCTAATGCTATCCCATCCTTATCTTGGACACACTGTATATCTATGAATTCATCAAAATTTAAAAAAAATAAGTACACTAATCGATCCTACGGATTTATTTTATTTATTCACTATTCGACTTGTTTATAGCAGTACTGTACAAAAATAAAATTTTGGGTCAAACAATGAGTTTTTTTTTGTATTTTTTCCGTACAATTGAATGGTGTAATTAGTTTTTGAATTTTTTAAAAATTTAAACAAATTATCAACAATGACTGAAAAATTCATTGTTGCAAGTTATTTTCCATTTTTTTGCATTTTTGAGCATGTTTCTGAACTGTGCTTACAGATTTTTTTATTTCACCAAAAAGTATGTCAAAACGAAAAAAATGACAACTCTGTATGATGATTTTTCTAAGTAGAATTTTCCTCTGAAAAAAAAAGTGTTTCAGACCGGAAAAAATTAATATCTTGGCAACTTCTTGATTATTTTATCTAAAAAAATTTGTGGTTATTTAAGACAGAAAGTTTCGTCAAAATTAAATTATTTTTGCGGAAATGAGAAATAAAAAATGAAAAATCAGAAAAAAACCTGTTTTTCGCATTTTTTGCGAAAATTTTGAGGTTATTTTAAAAAGTGACCTCCACAAAAGTTGTAGATTTTTGCATGATCTACAACTTTTGTATTGAATACTTTTTTGTTTGATGTCAACTTTCGCCAGAAATCCCAATGATTCAATTTTTCACAACTTTTCAAACCCCCAAATTAACCCTCCACCTCACTCCACCTCACGCATTTATTTTTTTTTTTCATTTATTATAAGCCCCTTTACCATTTCCACTTATAAAAGTCCAGGTAACAATTTTCTTTTTTTTTCCTTTCTAAATGAGTTATTACGATCGGTCTACAATGCTTCATTCACATTGACAGCAATAAAATATGCTGACTTTAAAATGTCGCAGTCATGTAAAAACAATGTTTTTGCAAATTATTTTCCATTGCAGTTTCGCTTTCTGCCACCAGTTTCATATAGTTGGCTTAAAAAGATAGGTAACAACTGGCAACACTGATAAGTGTGCATAATCAACCAAATTCTAGAGACAAAGTACATCTTATTTCATTAAAAAATAGCTTCAGATTAGTACTTAGGGGAGGGTAGTACTTACTAAAAAATTGACCCCCATTTAATGTTACACCCTCTTTGACGGCGTACTATTACAGGAACTGTTTATATCACTTGGAGAAATGACGAAGACACTGAAAAAGTTGTAGTAGAAGCAAAGTTAAACCCCTTACCACTGACAAATAGTATAAAAAAATTCGTTCCAGATTCAGTCGGTTCTGTTGAAGGAAAATCGTACAGTTACATCTTACACAGCATGTTTACGGGTATGTTGCTTTGAATAAAAACTATTTTAATCATTTCAACTACTTTATTTCTCCTAATTTACAAATGAATAAATATTCTTGCCTTCATTTATGGAATTCGCTTTAAAAAATATAAAATTTGTACCTACTATATATATATAAAAAAAAAGAAAGGGGAGAAAATACAAACTATGTACAAGTTATTAGAAGAGGAATTTTAAAAACGCAAACCCGTTTTTAACTATAAAATCACTAAAAATCTACTATGTACAAGTTTGACAACTGGCGCAAGATTTCTACAAAGTACACGCTAATAACTACAGTTAAATAAAAAAAGGGCTAAGTACTACATAATTATCAGGTTAGGTCGATTAATTATTTCATTTAGTTGCCAAAATTATACAAGACGGCGCCGACTGTGCTAAGAAACCACCTGCAATCTCACTGGTACGTCAGGACTGGAAGAAGCAACATTTACACATTTAAAAAAATAAAACATATTTTTCTGTAAATCGAAGTACAATTAAACTAATGGTTAACAAAGCTTCTTAACACAGTAAGCTCGAACGAATCAAAATTGAACTAATTATTTGATTTACGTCATCGAGGAATGACATAAAAAAATAAAATCATCACAAATACATCATTCACAGTAATATTTACATCATATTAGAGGAATAATTCCAGCGTATTTTTAAACAACAGCAAAATTATTACCTACAAACCGTTTTTTTTAAATAATTTATTTCTAACTACTTGGGAAACAATTATGCTGTAGGAACTCGGCTGACTTACGGCAGAACAACATAAGTGTTTTATTCACAGTTTACTCGATATCACAATAGCTGTAAATGGTCATAAAATAATTTACTTAAGGGGCACTATAAAGAATGGTATGGATATGATCACAGAATCGGCAAAAATGGTTTCTTGCCGTGTCAAAATAGAGAGATTACCTAGAGGAATCCTTCCAATAAAAGAACGTATCGGAAAGTATGTCATACAGTATTAACTTATTCATAGTACTCAGCGTAAATGATATCACGAGTGAAAAACACAACCAATTCTATAAATAAATAATTTATAACTAATTTTTAATCGCTTCATACCAGATCCAAAAATGTACATCCAAAAAAGTTATGGAAAGTGGATTTATTAGTGTGAAAAAAATTATTCAGATAAAAGAAACATTCCACAAAGCCCAATGAGTCTCCATGTTTGCCAATTACACAGAGTGTTCAAAAAGTTTGGAACCCCCCCTCTATCTCGGAAAATACTGCTCAAAAAAAATTATTAGGTCAAAAGTTGCAATCCAACGGTGACCTTGACCATGACCTTGAAGGTCGTTCAGAGGTCAAGTTAAAAATTTTAAATGGAACCGTATACTTTTGACCCTGGAAATGGTAAGAACGGAAAATTTTACGTTTGAATGTGACATTGACCATGACCTTCAAGGTCATTTAGAGGTCAACCTGAAAATTTTAAATGGTCACAGCATTTCCAACAACCCGTCTCCGAAGGTTCTCATCAGTGGAAAAATTACCGAGATGTTAGGGTTAAAAGTGCGCAATCAAACGGTGACCTTGACATTTTTAGTCCATATATATATATATATATATATAGGGTTCCATTTAAAATTTTCAGGTTGACCTCTAAATAACCTTGAAAGCCAATGTCATGTTCAAGGTCACATTCGAATGTAAAATTTTCCGTTCTTAGCATTTCCGGGGTCAAAAGTATACGATTCCATTTAAAATTTCCAACTTGACCTCTAAATGACCTTCAAGGTCATGGTCAAGGTTTGTCCTAATAAATTTTTTGTTTGAGCAGTATTTTCTGAGATAGAGGGAGTTCCAAACTTTTCGAACACCTTGTACGTAAATTTCACTTTTTACCATTACCTAAACAATAAAGCCACATTATTCACATAACTTTTAAACCTATAGTATGAACACTAACCGGTAACGGACGAAACATTTTGTACAAATTTTCCGAGTCTATTTCTCTGCTGTCAACTGAAATATGTAATTCCGCGATACTAGTAAAGTACTTTATTAACTAAATAAGTAATTTTCCACAATTTCCTATTGTAATACTGAATGTGGTAAGCCAGTTGGCCTAATGCATAATTCTTTCACGCAACGTTAGTATGTTTAAGTGAGTGCTGTTACTGAGAAGTGTCTAGTTGTTAGTAAGTCTCATTTAGTTATGCCCTGGATGTTGGGCACGGGGCTGTTCTTGGGCGTGTGCCTGCTTTTGCTGAGAACAATGAAACGACAATTTAAAAAAATTGTATTTGTAACACACAAGGTACAAAATTAATAACAGAATTGTAGAAAAAGTACATAAAGGTGTAGAAGTAAAACCTAAATAAATATTTGGAACCGTTCAACTCACCGTAGATCGTTTGTTGAAATATCTCTGTAGTCGTATCTCGATTTTTCTAGCCTACGTTCTAAGCCCTAGAAAATAAAAATGTTTTGTGATATGACAGCAAATTTATACTATTGAGTTATTAAAATTGTTGAAGCAGCTTTACGCAATCAAAGAAACTGATATTACTATTACAAATTCACTTTTCACGATAGTGATCTCGGTAACGGTAAGAGATACGAACTAGCTTAAATGGGGGCAAAGTCGTGTAATCAGGGAACCAACATTATGCCTATAAAAAATTAGAGATGGGCACTTTTCAGAAAAGTGTGTTACGGACATGTCAATGAAATGTCCGGACATGTCGGGAAAAGTACTTTTGACCTTGAATCTAATAAGGCACCTATGAGTGACATCATGTTTTCACAGGTCACTGCTTGAGGGTACACAAAGCAATTACTTTTATTCTGGTGAATATGTGCCGATATATTTTACTTATTACCTACCTTTAGACTTTTTTATAAACTATTTTCTAATTTTCCCTGGACAGCCAATACACTTTTTTTTCCATCCTACTCGAATTCTTAAAAATAGTTTTTGAGAAGTTACATTTATAATGATAGTAACTCAATTCAGAAAAATATAACCAAACTGTTGATTTTGGCGTCATACTTCATTTATAAACTATTTGTGTATTAAATATTAAATTAAAAATCAACTGATTACTATTTACTAATCGTTAACTTTGCCAAAAATAATAAAAGAGGTTATATTTTTAAAATGTCAGTTTCAGGATTCAGTTCAATAATTACCAACAAATTACAAGAAAATGGCAAAATATCTTTAATTTCACATGTACCAACCTCAAAAATTTTTGCGCGAATTATGAATGCAACAATTAATTCCGCGCATGCGCATACAACTTTTCAATCTTGAAGTGTCCTCAGGACATGTCCACTTTTCACGACATTATCCAGGTGACATGTCTGCCGCACATAATTAGTTTTCAAAATATTTGAAAAAACCCGAAATTTTTTAAATCCGTTTTTGTTACATTTCAGCCTTGTTTGAGATGATATTGAAAAAAGAAGAACACTTTCTTGTGGCAACTTTTTGGCCTCTATCGAACGACATAATTAATTTTTATACGGAAAGTTTCGTCTTTCCAGAACCATCATCAACTTAATTTTTTCAATACGACCCTGGTAATTTACATTTGCAAGCCTTCATGACACCCAATATCGTACTGCCTCAGCCCGAACCATGTTCAGACGTTTTGTCTCGAAAAATTCATCTTCAATGTATTCGTTCCAAAGAGTGACTCAAAAAAACAGTCTGAAAATCACACATTTTGGCAAACTCGTAATTCGTTAAAAATTTTGTGCCAAGTTATTATATACCATTAGAAAGTGTTACTGAGAAAGTTCCAAGATGAGTTCAGCTTTGGTTTTGGAGATATGAGTGAAACATGTCATAATACTCGTGGTATCGAGCCTATAACTTTAAATCTTTAAGATTCACTGTGGTTACTTAGGTTTTTGGGGTTGCTGATTATGAATCTGAAGTCAGAATTTCAAAATTCAAGATGGCGGATCCAATATGGCGGAAAAATTTTTTGAAATTGTACCAAATTCGACCAAATTGGGTATACAGGGGTTTTCGGGGTCGCTGAGTACGAATCCGATATCAGATTTGCAAAATTCAAAATGGTGGATCCAAGCTAACGGTCAAAATTTAAAAAATCAAAAATTCACAAATTTTTTTGAGAAAACCGAGCGTATCTTAAAATATTTACGTAAAGCAAGTAATCCTACTATCGCTCTTAGTGTAAACCAGGATCGACGATGTGGACGTAGCGATAAATTCATACGAATACATCTGACATGCTCTTTCAAAGTTGCGGTTACAGGTATAATAAATTCCGATCATATTACGCTTATTTTCATATTCAACATTTGCCAAAACGGAAACATTTTTGAACTTTACTGTAATTTTCAAAGTATTATATTGGAATTTTGGTTGTTCATATGCATTTTTAAGCAATAATTTGTCGTAATAAAATTAAAATTGTAATATTTTAATTCTGACGCAACAACTCATCGAGTTATGTATAACCAGGCGATGGAAATAGTTTAAATAACTAGGTGGATTCCACAAGGTCTAACGACACTTAGAGTGTACGATAATTCAATAAACATAGAAACCTAAATAAAAAATTCAGATAAATTTGAACAAATACATCGAAGATGAATTTTTCGAGACAAAACGTCTAAATCTGGTTCGGGCCTGAGACAGTACAGTATTGGGGGTCATGAAGGCTTGCAAAAAATGTAATAAAATTTCCAAGGTCGTATTTAAAAAAATGAAGTTGATGACAGTCCTGGAGAGACGAAACGTTACATATAAAAATTGATTATGCAATTCGATAAAGGGCAAAAAGTTGTCATGAGAAAGTGTTTTCCTTTTTTCAATATCACCTCAAACAAGGCTGAAATAAAACAAAAACGGATCTCCAACAATTCGGTTTTTTTCAAAAATTTTGACTACTAATTATGTTAGCTTTGATTTTTTAAAGGCATAATGTCGGTCTCCTGATTATGCAACTTTGCCCCCTTTTTAGCTATTTCGTATCTCTTACCGTTTCCGAGATCCCTGTGGTGAGAAGCGAATTTGTAACAGCCTGTATTTTGAGAATTTTTCCATAAAATTTCATGGTCACGCAAAATGAATTAGAAAAACATTTCGTGCCAGATTTTTACCATGGAGAATCAGTTAAATGGCTTCAAATTTGTAACTCGTAAAAATTGTTTTTGACAACTCGGCCCAATTCAGTAAAAAAAATTTAAACAACTGCCTCGTTAACCAATTATAGGTTAAATTATTTCTCCATAAAACAGAAATCTAACAGGTTTTGGTAGGGCAAAATTACTCCACCGCTAAAACCAAACAGACATGCAAATTCTATACGTATACCGTCTTTCCGTAATTTGTAATAAATGTGTGGACGCACCTCGACAAGCTGTGGGTGAGGGTGTTGTTTTTTGCGTTTTTGGGTAGGCACGCGGTGCACTTAACTTGTCCACACTCGGAACACAGCCACCTCGACAACTAGAAGCAACAACATGCACAAAAACCATGCAAAACTAAACGGCTACGGGCCTACGGAAACTAAAGGGGCACCACTACAACTACTGCTGTTGTCTTTGAATTTTAGATTGTAATTTAATATAAAAACTTAATTTACACAATTTCGTTTGAGTTTTTTTTAATCGCAATTTTACCCATCTAAATTTCAAGACGGAAATAAAAGAAATCGTCTAGAAAATTTACAAAATATGTATATTTTCTCACATTAAAATTTTTTTAACCATAATATTTTTCATAAAACCACATCATTTCCATTTTCAAAAAAATGTTTATTTTTTTTTTATACACAGTTTTTGGATACACTAAACATATACGGTATGAGAAAATGAAGGTCCATATCTTCATAGTTTCCTTAAATTAAAATAAATAGAACTGGATCAAGTTACCTCTGTATAATTTTGACTCCTTAAAGGCCGATTCTTACTTAGGAGTTTTTAGCAGGGTTTTTTAGTTGTTTTTATGTTCTATGTTGGTAGGCATTGACAGTTGCTGACGCTGAGCGGGAAAGTTTAGTTTGTTTTCTTATTAAATATAACATAAATATAACAATATTAAAAAACTTGTTATGGAACCAGACGAAGTAATATTGCCTAGCTACAGTAATCTGTAGGGCAGCAAGCACAATAATGCCTGAACGAAGGCAAGTTTAATAACTCATCTTTAATGGACCGTATTACAGCCTCTCTTTTTACTTTATTTCTATACTCTACGTGTTCTAGATTGTATAAAATAGGTTAATTTTGGTACAATTCTATTAAAGCCATAACAGCCTCCCTCCCCCAAATAAATCTTCCCTCCAATCTTCCATTTGCTGCTGTTTCACAGGTTTCACTCATTTTTATTGCTTTTTAAGGGAAAAAGGTAAAGGTAAAAAGGTAAAGGACCACATTAGTTCTCACTCGTAAACCACGAAATTAAAATTTTTATTCTACAACTATCACCCTATAAATAACAATAAACAACCATATCCCTACATTATAAACACATAAACATAAAAATTGTAGTGTCGTAAGTAACGCCAACAAAACAAACAAATCCTTAGCACTTGTCAAATGCACGCTACCAACTCACAAATGTAGTGAATTTTCACGAAAAACTCGTCATCCACAACAGAAAAATAGAATATGTTCTAATTTCAAGGGTGAACACCCAGAGTTTCTTTATAAGACTCATAACACGCAAATGTGTTCTGAAAAGCCCTGGGGTTTTGTTGCAGGGTTAAACCCCGGGGTGAAACCCGTAAGTGAGAATCGGACTTAAGATAGGAGCTTTAAAAAACTTTTAATTAGTTTTTTTAAGATACCTGGACTTTTTAAGATATTTCAATAAAATAATATATTTCAATAAAATTTAGTACTTAGAAAAAATAAAAACCATTAAAAATGATAGCTAAATACTATGTATGTGATCTGAAAATTTTAATGATAGGTATAGAAAAATATTTTTTAAATTTTTTTATATTAACAATATAAACCATTCATGCCTTACACCGCCAATCGACATATTTGAAATCTGTTTTCAACTTTATAAATGTTATTTAATTAAAATCGTGACTCAACTGAGCAATAATAAAAGTTTTCATCCATCAATAATTACTGAATTTGAATAACGGAACGAGGTTTTGTAATCGTGAATGGACTATACTGTTTGAACTCGCCTAGGTGTCAACATAAAAGGGTGGAATTAAAAAAATAAATATATCAACCGAAAATCCAATAGCCCACACATAAAAACGTGCCTGGTACTTACTCCGACTTTCCTGATCAGGTCGCTGACTATATTTAAGGCCATGACCCTGGAGGCTGGCGAAATCGGAGTTTGGAAATCATCTGAAATCACATCAACTGCAGGTGTAGCCTATTTAGGCAGTTATTTTTAGGAAAACACACATTTAGACTTGATATAAGCATGCGAGTTTAAGCCATAATTCTTCAATAGCAGAGAATCACTATGGGGATGTTAAAGTGATTTAGATGGATGTAAATTTACACAAAACACGAAGGTGATGGTACAGTATGTGGTATCTTACGAGGGTTGCCTTTTATATTTCGGGGATAGAGATCGGAAGAAGAAATTAATCAACTTTTACGACTTTATTGTTTTTCAAAATATTGTTCATGAAGAGCAATACATTTTTACATGCGCTTGTAATAATTTTTGAAGTACTTTTTCTATTTCGATTGAGGTACCTCCAAAACATGCATTTTGAATGCATAAACGCTTCTTTAGGCGAAAAATGTTGACCTCATAATTTATTTTTGATGTGCAGGAATAAAAAAACAGTCAGTGATGTACCCAAAGTTTCCTCTAAGTTGTGCTGTGCAGTTCATTTTATAAAAGAAATGCATCTAAAAATTGCAAAAATTCAAATTTCACTAAAAAAAATAATAAAATTTAGGGTAAAAAAGTTTTTGAACATTTTTGCTCCCATATACAGTGAAAATTGGATATAACGGCATCGCTTTGTACGACATATTGGATATAACGACGGAATTTGGAAGCCCCGATGTAACCCTATAGAAATACCATATTAAAAATATCGTTTACTACGATACCGTTTACGATATTTCGGATTTAGCGACGCGTTTTTATATACATTTACCATAGAACCTGTCCAACCAATGCACCGCTCTTCCACCTGCCCTACCGACATCCACGCTTTCGACACCAGTTATTACGTTTGGGACAAATTACGACTTATTTACGCATACGGTTATATTATATGAATTAATTACTGTTTTCTGTCACGATGTCGAAGAGAAAAGTGTTTAATAAAGAAGAAAAATCACATATAATGTAGAGATTAAAGTACGGAGAAACTAATGCAAGCAAGCAAAAGAATGTGGCATGTCACACAACCATTTCAACAATTTGGAAGGATAAAAATAAAGTAGTCTCTATTTTTAAACAATTCATTGAAAATGAAGAGCTCGAGATTTTTTGAACACAAAGCAATACATGTATATTAGGGTGGCCCAAAAATAACGAATATTTTTTTTCGTGTCTCTTGTGAAAATATGTTAGTTTATCATGTTTTAAGAGAACCCCCCATAAAATCAGTTAAAAAAAAAATGTTTTTAGAGGTCGCTAAAGATTTTAAAAAATTTCCAAAATAGATTGAATTTTTAAAAAATTTTTTTTCTCGTTATTTTACCATTTCCTAGGTTGAAAAAATCTCGATTCTGAAAATTTCAAATCAATATTTTAATTTCTAAAGATCACTCATAATTATTTTAACTTTCAAAGTAGTTTACCTAAAATGTTTTCTAGCGATCTAAAAATAAATATCAAATCAAATCAAATCATTTATTGGTGTCTATACATTAAAATATTTACACAAGTCAATGAAAGAAAACTCGAAAGATACAACATATAAGCAATACTACACTAAAGCTAAAAAAAAAACACGTTCAAATAAATATAACGTAAACAGCATAAAAAAGTGAATATTACGAACATACATTAAATATCTAAAAACTGGTCAGCAAGGAACTCATCAAAATTTAAAACGCTTTCCTCTTAAGATATTTTCTAATCTATCAAAGAACTAATAAATTTTTTTATTGAATTTGATGAACAAAAGAATAGAAATAAATCACGAGACACTTAAAAAATTTCTCGAGGCAAAATTTACTACCTCACTGTGAGCAAATATTTATAATTTTTTAAAATTTAAGTGCCTCGTGATTTATTTCTATTCTTTTGTTCATCAAATTCAATAAAAAAATTTATTAGTTCGTTGATATTTATTTTTAGGTCGCTCGAAAACATTTTAGGTACACTACTTTGAAAGTTAAAATAATTATGAGTGACCTTTAGAAATTAAAATATCGATTTGAAATTTTCAGAATCGAAATTTTTGATTCAACCTAGAAAATGATAAAATAACGAGAAAAAAAAGTTAAAAAAAAAATAAATTTTTGATTTTGGAAATTTTAAAAATTCTTGAGCGACCTCTAAAAAAATTTTTTTTGAGCTGAATTTTTGAGGGGGATCTTAAAACATGATAAACTAACATATTTTCAATACGAAAAAAAAATTTGTTTCTTTTGGGCCACCCTAATGTACATACTCAAAAGACTTGTACTGTAAATTTCTAATTTTTTCTATAAAAATTTTAAATAAAATATATGTAATTGCTTATTACGTCTATCGGTTATAACAACCGGTCCCTTGAAAGTCGTTATAACCGATTTTCACTGTACTTTTATACCACGCAGTCAGTGAAAAAAATTCGAGGTAACAGTGGTTGTACTACGATTGAATTCCATGTACCACCGATATACAGCGGTTTTTGATGGTGCTTATCGATGCACTGTGCACTTAATTCCATTTTTTGGCCGATATGAATTTTTCAAATCACTGAATAGTGCCTGTATGTCAAAACGTTCCGAGTAAGTATAACGAAAAAAGTTGAACCTTTCGATAGGGGCATTGGTTCTCGGATGGCAGCACCAGGATCGTTCATTCCCGAAATGTAAAAGTCAACTCTCGTATAAGCAACACTGTTTGGGTCAGATTAATATTAAGGATTCTTTATCGTTTAATGAAAAAGACTAAAAGTAAATTATTCTCGTTACAATTATTAGTAAAATAAATGGTCAAGGGAAGGTAAATTGGATTTGTCTAGAAAAAAATATATTACGACTGAAATTTGCTCAGTTAAGGAAAAGGGTAAGAATTCCACACAACACAGATAGACCCGTCTAAAGAGAACATACGACAGGAGACATGCAGCCATTTGCAACAAGACTCAATTGCGAACAAATGAAAACAATGATTTTATTGGTGAAAATAATTTATTCAACATCAACATACACAAGTTACAAAATTAAAGTACATTTGATATGATGTCAATCACAAAATCGCTAACAAAACTGCAGTTAATATTACCTTTAATACTGTTAATGTGGGCAATTTCGAGTCTTTTTTTTGAGTCTTGTTACCAATCGAATTGAGTTAGGATTAGAAATGAATACAATTAGCAACAAAACAAAGAGACACACGAACACATGCTCTAAATATAATTAATACAAGCTTAGGCTTTCGTAGGAACTACGAGAAAATATCACAAAACGGAATATTCAAAATTACACACTGGCAAATATCGGTGAGCCACGAAATACAAGAACCCTAACCTCATATGTATCACAAATAATCAAACAATGCTCGGTTGGGAGATCGAAGATACAAGTAAAAAAATCGGCCTAAATAAGTGCACTTATTAATTGAATCGAGTGAAAATATACTTAAGCTAAGTAATTAATAGTAATAGCGACAGTCATATAGCGCTAGGGGTCAAAGAGAGAGTTAATGTTGTTATTTGTTTTTCTTGTTTTTGCCACAGAAAGCAGAAAACGACTTAAAAGCTTTATTGATCTTACGTTTCATCGGTGTTGTTTGTGTCTCGTTCTCCTTGAGTCGGTTCGAGTCCACTATAGGATTCTTAAATCCGTTCATAATTCGTTCGTTGTCTGGCCCTTTCTCCTTCTCCCGGACCAGCAGTTCTTGCTTCAAATCTAGAAATAAAAAACAGACTCAAACTTGTGTCGAATATTTTATACTAAAAAACAAACCTCTTGTTTCATCAGCTAACCGTTGCAATTTTTCCTTCAGGCTCTCTTTTTCGTCCACCTCAGACTCCAGGATGGCATTCCTCTCAATAGCCGAATGAAAAGCCGTTTCAATTCCGGCGATACTTTCTTCAATTATCCGGCGTGATCTCTCCAAGTCATCATTCTTCTGTTCTAAATCACGAATGTACTGGGCCATTTGAGTTTTTTCTTTTTTTAACTCTAATATTTCAGTCTCCAAATTGACGTTCTCTTTATTGCACTGATCCAATTTTACCTGAAATAACATTTCGTAATAATTAACACCAAACAGTATATAATTGACTTACTCTTAGTGAATCTATTTCATTTTGAGCTCTATTATTAGCTAACGTCAGTTCTTTGATTTTTTTCTCGTTCTGGTCGATTGTAGCTTCGTATTCCTTATCTAGTTGCTGAGATTCTGTTATAAACTCATCAGATTCTTTTTGTATCCGTTCAGCACTACAAGGCAAATGATAGTTAATCAATTAATTACTTTTAGCATAAATATCTAACTTACTCTTGAAGATATTCCTCTGCTAGGCTCTTCCAATATTGGATTTCCTCATCTTTATCACTAAACTGTGGCGAGTCCCCTTTATTCATCTTGATCGAGTTTGTTATCGTCCAACCAACAATGGCATATCCTGGAACTAAATAAATAATGTGGAACACATTCTTTTTCACACGAAAAAGCTATCATATGGAAAAAATAGCATCATTTTTTACATAAGTATGCAATTGTCAAAATTGTAAACATGACTCATTCACACCGTAAAGATTTTACACGGTTTATAAACTTAACACGGATATACAGCGTAAAATAATCGACACTTTCCTAATGTCCTCATTGCACAAATTAATTACTTACAAATTAGATATAAAATACGATATCCGTTTGGACTTGAGACTATTCTACGCCATTAACAAGATGGTGGCCTACTTAAATGTCAGTGTCAGTTTAGTTTTGTTTTTGAATTTTTATCGAACGACGAATGTGCCATCTACTTTATAATTTCTCAGGTATATATTTATGTTTGAGAAACTCATTTATACTTATCTTGTGAAAAGAGACGGTGAAGGTTCGAATATTCCATTCAGTCTCGACCTACCAAGACATTGGTTATAAATAAAAATATAAGCCAAAATCGACCAATAGTAAGCGTCAGATTTATTTTTTCCTTTTCTACAATTTAAACCAAGTACGAAAACGTGACGTTTATAGGCAGCCATATTTACAATAGATACTCGGACTGTCTAATTGTGTGTTGCCTACACGTATTTTCTAATTTTATTTTTATTAAAAATGTCAACTTCAACCTCAAAACTCCGAGCTCCCAGGCACTCCAGGCAGTCAAAACATAGTTTTCAATAGTTTAGCTGCATTTTTAATAATGTTTCGAACATATCCTTTAAAGTTTTTGTTAGGAAAGATGCCTACCAAGTCGAAGGTAAGTTTATTCTTAACCTGTATTTCAATTAAAGTAGATTATTTATAGATTTCAGTACGTAATTATATTCCTAGAAGGGCCTTGTTGTACGTACCAGGCGATGACAGGAAAAAAATTGATAAAGCCTTGGGCTTAGACGTAGATTGCATAGCTTTAGATTGTGAAGATGGTGTTGCATTAAATCGAAAGGTAGCAATTGAAAGAATGTAATTGAATATCCTATCCAATTATCTTGTATGTAGGTGGAAGCTAGAGCAACTATTCGTGAATTCTTGGATAAAGGAAAGCCCAAGGGTCCAACTAAGTTCGATTTAGGCGTTAGGGTGAATTCTATCGATAGCGGACTTTGCCATGAAGACTTGGTGTCTTGCCTTGGTGGCAGTTTTTTACCCGATACAGTTCTTTTACCAAAAGTTGAAAGCAGCGAACATGTGCTTTGGGTATAACAATTGATAATTTTGTATTCCTTAATGACTTTATGTACAACCGTAAAGTTTGCAGATGAAATAAGCCACCTAATTAAAGCTGAGGACAGAATAAATTTAATAATATACATAGAATCTGCACTAGCATTTATTAACTTGGGTGATATATGTAAGACTGCTAAACAATTGTCGAAACGGTTTAGTTTTGAACTTGTTGCATTGGTACTGGGTAGCGACGATTTACTAGCAAATTTAGGTAAGTTTTACCATTATATTATTGTACCTAGCGCTGTGTTGTAAATATTTTTTTAGGGGCGATAAGAACTGAGGATTCGAAAGAAATTTTGTATGCCAGGCAGAAGTTAGTGCTCACAGCGAAGGCATTTGATTTACAAGCGATAGATATGGTGTATATTAATTACAAAGGTATTTCTCAAATGTCCGTCTCTATTTTGTAGTAAAATATTTTTTTATCAGATTTAGACGGCCTGAAAAAGCAGTGCGAGGAAGGAATGAGGATGGGATACACAGGGAAGCAAGTGATTCACCCTGGGCAGGTTCCGGTTGTACACGAAGCATTTTTACCCACCAAATCCCAAGTGAATTGGGCCGAAGGGCTTTTGAAGTCATTTGAAGAACATCAGAAATCTGGAAAGGTACAAAAATGTATTTATGTGAACGGTATTTAATTATCTAGTGTTTATTATTCTAGGGCGCATTTACGTACAGGGGAAGCATGATCGATATGCCTACCATGAAGCAAGCTCAGAATATAATGAAATTAGCTAAATTAGGTAAATAATTTTTTATTTATGAAAAGCAATCACAGTGATTTCCCACGTGTATGTGATATATTTGATGTGCAAAAACATTTGTTTAAAAAAAAAAATTTGCTTCATATTTTTAAAAACATTGTGGTTTCTCTTTTAAAGCGTTAAATGTGGAATTTAAAACAGATTTAACTTGATATATTTTATTAGAAAAAATAAAAACAATGTAATTTAAATTTTTATTCTTCATGTTTCAATCCATTTCCTTGGTTAAAATCCACTTCCATCCATTGCGGCTTTTCAGTCAATTTTTCCTGTTCACTGGACTCGTCTTCAGCTCTTGCTGCGTCTGGTGAATATTTGTGGAAAAAATCGTGTTTCACTTTGCTGCTAGCCTGACCCATGAAGGGTCTCAGCATGGCTTCGGAAAACTGCATGTTCGTTCCCACTTCTTCACCGTTACTTTCCTTTTCACGAACTTCTTCGTCGGCGATTGATTGAAGCATTTCAGAATTGTTTTCAATCTTAAGCGATTCGTTGAAAAATTTCTCGAACATTACCGGGTTGATCGCTCCCAAAATTTGTGTCAACTGTTTATTTCTCTCATTTTCGTTTAAAATTTGTTGATCGTTTGCTTCGTTTCGAGGAAAATGACCGATGAAGGGGTGCGTTAAACTTTCTGGAATCATGCTCGCCTGCACGACTTCCTGATTTTGATCTACTTGGTTTCCTGTCGTAAAGCTGTGTACGTGATTGTTTACTTGCTGCCCTACTCGATTTATGATACTAGGATTATTAGTTTCGGAATTTTGATGCATTGCTGCAGGTTCTGAAAAGGAAAAGTAAAATTAATTTTGTACAAAGAATTTGATCGTAGTTTTATTTTACCAATGATTCTCACATGTTCCTTTGGAACAATGTTCCCCAAAACTGTATTTACTTTATTGAATAATTCCTTCAAATTGTCTACCCCAAGTGACTCTTTCAATTTGTTTAAAGTACTCATAGTGTCTCTTAGAAACTTGGTATCTTGGTCTTCCTTGAATTCCTCGACCCGCACGTTTTGCAACAGATTTGCTAGCATCTGAGATGGTTGTGATTTATCTTGGGTGTGTATCATTGAAACTGTCCTTCTAGGTTCAACTATTATTTTTTCAAAACGTAAGTCGTTATAGTTTGGATTAGAAACACCAATAGCGTCTAATATGTGTCCAACTTTCACAAACTGCCCATGAGAATTATCTAGAATAACATTAAATCCTTTCACATTTTTAACTGTTTAATCAGTTTGAGTCATCTTACCTAGTACGTTTCCAATTTGTTCACCTTCATTGGTAACGTCAAGAATCCTTGGTGTTATCAAAACTGCCTTTCTGATCGGTTGCCTTGTTACAGTTGGTATTTGTTTTAACAGTAACCTAGGTGTTGCATACCTAGTACTGTGGATAGCACTTTTACCATGGTTAGCCACCTGACCCACATGAGATAGTGCCTCTTGACTAGACAAAATGCCACCTCTAACAGCAGATCCAACCTAAAAAAGTCGACAATATTTTTTGTTTTTACTTATGTAGTCATTGTACCTTTTGGAATGTGTTAGCTATATTATCCGGATGAACTTCGTTTTGGGAATATTTGTCCGAAAATAGATTGGGGTTGATGTCTCCTAGAATGGCATTATTCCCTTGTCTGCTTACAATGTCATACTGTGACGGAATAAGGAAATTTTTCGTGGGGATTTTCATAGTGGCCAGTACAGCATCCTGAGCTGATCCCACCATATTTCTTACGTGATATAAAGGTGCATTTTCTTGCTCAAATGTATTTTTCACAGCCACACCGAGATTATCTAGAGTTCGTGGAATGTCTAATGCTGCTCTTGGATCTGCAATTAACCTGTAGGAAAATTGTAGAATTGAAAATACTAAAAGTACTTTAAATATAAAAGGTTTACCTGTTCAACGGTAAATCGTACGGTCTTCCTCCGATACTTCTTTTAGGTCTGTTAGTTTCGTTTTTCCTCTTTTCCAAGTCATTTATCATGTTCTCACCAACGTATCCAATCATCATTAAGTCTTCGTCGTGCTTAGCATCTTTTTTTAACTCTTTTACAATATCTTTTTGTGTTAGCAGAAGGTTGTCTAACTTATCGTCAGTCGTTTTATTTAGGGATCTCACAAGGCGTTGATACCATTCCGATTCGCGTTTGTCCGGCACTTCAATTATATGTCCCAAATTTGGGTTTATATCAGAAGATACATCATTTGGCATTTGTTGATGTCCAGGACCGTTTTCAATCACTGGGGAATTTACAACTTCTGGATCCGTGTTATACTGCCAATTTCCTGTCATTTTTGATTGGAAATCGTTTGGATTTTCTTTGATATTTGAATTCTTTGGAAAATCTCCGGGGTTAGCTACGAATGGAGGGTCTACGTCTACCAATCTTGATAACCTATCAAATGAACGTCTGTTATTTTCATCAACCTGTTCCAAAAAGTTCTTAACATTCGCCTGTTCTTCCTGCAAGTATCTGTCCATGGCTTCTTGTCGTTCTTCGGAGTTTAACTGAAGAAAGTTTTCCGGTAAAGTTGGAGGAGGGTTTATTTGAATGTTCTCCAAAGGAAATATACCCAGCTGTAAAAAAAATGTAAGACTCCGTGAGGAAGAATTATTTTGTACTTACGTTTTCATGTTGAATATTTTCTGTCCCTTCATAACGATTTGGAGACCTAACATATCCGAATTCACTGTTAAAGTCTAAAGGAGTTTCAAAATGGTGACATAAGTTTTCGTTACTTTCAATTGACTGCACCAGTTTTTTCATATTTCCTTGCTGTCGTTCAATATAGTTAACGACTGGTTGAAGATTTTGTGGTCTACTGGGATTGAAATATTCTGGAGATTCCGGTGCTCTCATTCTGGAATCTGTTAGTACAGTTCCAACCTACAATACTCGATTGGTCTATTTTATCTTTGGACGTTTATAGAATATACTATACCTGTTCATAATTTTTATCTAATTTTGAGTATGGTAAATACTCGAATTCCATGCGGATCGTAGGGCTTCCATCTTGAAGCATTTCTTGTGAGTGGGTAAAGTTTGTGCCTGTATTAGGCATAAGTACATATTGCTTGTTATTGGGTGCATTGGTGAGAATAAATTGAGACTGCGCAGTACTCATACCTGGCCCTACAGTACCATAACCCCTCGGTATTTCTTGCGACGAGTGGGTAAAATAGGATCCTCCTATACTTGGCATAATAAGGCGCTGCCCGTTAGCATTGATCTGAAAAACTTGAGACTGACTCATTCCATAACCACTAGGAGTAGGGTTTGAACTGTATACATTGCCCCCGGGAATAAATTTTCCTCGAGTCGGATTAAATCCTGGTTGTATGGTGGCTGAAGGAATCTGTTGTGGTGCTACCACTGAATTCTGGTTCTGAACCACACGTAAATTAAGACTTGGTGTAACTATATGTGTGTTTGGTATAAGATCGCTGCTTTGTGGCTCTTTAAAGAGGGTGTGAGTGTGTGTATGAGTATGAGTGTGCTTGGAAGTACCCACATCTGGAGACGTCTGTTTACTGGAACTGACAGTTAGATCTAAGCTGTAAACATGGTGTCATAAATATGTCTCTGTCTCTATACTAATCGTTGTTACCTTGACTTTTCGGGCACGTGAGCTTTACTTTTGTCCTCCTCGTGGGTAGAGGCTTGACGGAGGAAAATCATTGGTGGACCAGGTTGAAGCGTCGGCATTGGTTGAAGGGGAAAGTTTGTGTAGGGGTTCATCTGCGGTACCATTTGCATTGCTGGAATACCTTGTGGCATAAACTGCCAGGGGAAAAAGGGTACTTGTTGACCGAACTGTGGTTGACCAGTTGCATAGGCTGGGAAAGGTGCCTGCATTCCTACGGTTGGATCGGCTTTAGGTGGTGTATTTTCCAGTAGACCAGTTGTTTGGTCAAAAGGCCTTTAAAATAAGATATCCATGTTAATAGTATTGTAATCTCATTTATAAGGATATATACGGGCGTAACTTTAAGTGGGGGGGGGGGGTATATTTATACAGAGGCTTCCATTGACCTTTAGTTTATTTTTTCAACATCCGTCGCAAAAACATTCAATTTTACTGATACTGTCTCCAATTGCGGGACAACAACTATCTCCCTTCACATGCACTGTAGATTGCCTACAATTCATGTATTTGTAATACACAAATATTACAGTGGCAGCGTACACAAGTATTAAAGTGTATTTTAAAAAACTAATTATAGTTCGACTATTACCCCTAAAAACTGACCCCCACTTACATCCTGTATACAGAGTGTTTCATAAGGAGATCTGGGTAAGTTTTCATTAAAACTTATTTTAACTATAGCCTTTGAGCCATTTGTAGAAGTTAATTTGTTTGTGGTATACACAACAAACAATGTACCACTAAAGGCTAAGTTCATGCAAACAAACTTTAAGGATGCTATTGAGAAAATCACATTTTTTGTGGCCACAGAAAAGTTCATCCATTATATGTTTTTGTTATGTATTTTATAAAGCATATTGACAAAACATGAACTGGTGATAAAATCATACTAGTGATTTTAAGAAAAAAAGTAATTCTCATTAAAAAATTGTGCTTGTGTAAAAAAATTGTAATTTTAAGTGGGCGAATATACTTTACTAAGAAATGATTAGAAATATAATAGTTAATTTTATTCGTGGAAGTCAGTAGCATGGTAATTAAAAAACTCATAAATAGTTCATTATTTTTCAACATTTAGCATGTACAATGATGACAGACAGAACGTTTTTAAGCAGAAATTTGATATTTTGGGAAACTTGGTTAAAAAATAATCTGTAATGTATATCTGTATAATAATTTATAAACAATTAAATAGGTCTTAACAGGAATAAAAAAAATATTTTCTTTGTAGATAAAGTTCTTTTTTTGTATATCAAAAAAATTCATAAGGTTGATCAGAATTAAAATTTATTAACATCGTTTAACTGCGAATAACTTTTCTCAATCAGTGAAAAATAGCAAATGTGTACTGAATTTTATTTTAAACTACCACTGACCATTGACCACGTGGTCATTATGGGGTCAAGACGATTTTTTTTAAATGGGAACCCCCCTAAGTTAACTGATTGTCACCAAATTTTGT